TTGGTGAAATGACCTTTTTACACCAAAAATTGGCAGGTTTGATCAACCCCGACACCTGAAATTGCTTCAAATAATCCTTGCAACCCATATAATTATTTTCACCTTCACTGCAGATTTTACCTGACACCATTTATTTTGTCAATTTATTCTATGGGGCTAAACTACAAGTCTCCAAAGTTGACAATACCCATTGCTATGCCATTTTTGTATGTAAAATGAAGCTTCTCAGTGAAGTCAAAACTTTAGGACTGCATAACTTCTCCAATTCTTCCCCAAAGTTATTAAGAGTCAAGTAGGAGTAGGGTGGGATTATTGTAACTACATACCAGAAGTCAGGTTGTAAAATCTTTTGTGGTTCCTAAACTACCAGTGGCGAAAAATCAATGTTTCTGGTGTAAAAAGCCCATTTCACCAACACTTTTGGGGAGGTACTTTAACTACCCGCCCACAAACCCTGCACCCCCACCCTATAACCCATCTATCCATACTGATCCCACCCCCCTCCAATCATCGATCCTCACACGAGAGAATTCAAGCTGCCTACCACTCGTTTATCATATTATACAGGTAAGATGCTCGGGTACGGCACCTATCTACCCCCTTGCACCCGCACCCCTATAAACACGGCATAGCCAACTGCTGTGCATCCCCTGCGGCTCCCAATCATGCGGTACTCGGCCAAATACTGAAACCTACATCCCAACCGCACATCTCGTCCCGGGAGGCCTGGAGCAGCCTCTGGTTGCTTGACTGATAGATGTACATTGTACAGTACTCTACTCGAGTACGGTATAGGGACTTTTACGCGCAGGCCAGGTATGTATCCGCTTTCGGGTAAGGAAGGAGAGTGACTGGTGGCTCCTGTGTTGTTGGTACAATTGGCGCTACAGTGGGAGGCCTAAATTTACCAGGTGAGGGGGTATACAAGTACCAGTGTATAGTCTGCTCTGTCGTCCGGAACTCCGAGCTTTGTCCAGACACTGTATCGAAGTGGGAGGCTACCTGTCTTTGTATATTATACCCCACTCACTCTCTAATTTTCCATTATTTCCTATCATTACTACCCCCAGGAGAGCCCTTAAGCTGTCTCTCGAACCTAAGGGGTTTCTACCACACAACCACATCGCACCGGTACCATGAGCCCATCCATAGGAGACCTCATAAACGCGCTCTTGAAGGTTCTTAAAAGAATCCGAGAGTTATTTCGGAAACACCCAGGGATGTTCACCAAAGCTCTGAAAGTTGTCACAGGCCTTATATTTTTCGTGAGAGGATTAGCAAGTCTCCTTCCCCCTCCTTCCTCCCCCAACCCGACTAACAGCTTAGGCCAAAGCAGCGGGCCCCCTGAGACTCGCTGGCACGGTGTCCCGCGGCTTCCTCCCGCTATCCATAGCAACCTCTATCCTCTCCGTATTGATCGCGGAGGACAAGATCGACGAGCTAGCAAAAGAAGTCTGCTCCCTGGCGCTCGGCTTTGCCGGTAGCGTTATCGGTGGTGCGGTCGGTGGGCTCTGTAGCCCTATCGGCGCATACGTTGGCTTCTGGGTGGGGGGTGCTATTGGCGGGCTACTAGGATGGTGGGTGTATGCTAGGCTTAAGGGGCTATTTACCGAGGGCATGGATGGGGTTAGACCAATTGATAGGATTGTAGATAGATTGTGGTCACGAGGTTTTGGCCGTGGTTATTGGCGGCCGTATGGAGGTTTCTAGGGTGCTTTTTGAGAATCGGTAGGGGATGGGAGACAGGTGATCGGTGAGGGGTAACTTAAACGATCCTCTCTCTCCGTCTATGGCAATTGATCTCCAGAGCTGAGCGTCCCAGATGTGCCGTCAGCGTTGCTAGTGTTTGGGGGTATTCTCTGGGGTTGTCGAGGGGAGCAAGTTTAATATTGGAATTTGGAGGAGCGGAAGTTGCAACGTTGGGCAGAAAATGGACAAGAGTGATAAACCATGATGATTACCGTGCCATCCAATTATACGTGCTAATATCATACCGGCAGTTATGATATGATACAAACTTGTCATCAACAAAAGGGAACTGACTCCTGGTCCCTTAAAACAAATAAAAATGCCCCATTCCCAATAGGTACCCCATACAAAATACATATGGTACAATTTGATACGAAGATTCACATACGTATCATAATTAAATGTTGGTTATAAAAAAAAATCGCATATCCCATAATACCATATTTTTATCGGTGAATATGGCTCTGGAAGACCACCGGCAGACCATAACAATTTTCCAGCAAAAATCGTGACACAACGCTGGCTATCATCCAAGAAATGTCAGTTGTGTTACCCTGCCACACAGGTAACATAGTCCTACCGGTAACCTTTCAAATTACCAAAACTTTCCAGGTATAATACTAGTCTATATTGACTTCTAACTCAAGAATACAATAGTACTGAGATCAATATTTTGCCGTGCTTAAAAAGCCCTCTGAACAATAAATCGCATTATCACAATATCTCAAACCTATTGCACATTGTGATTGTGGAAACGGCGGGTGGATAACTCTCGGTCAGGTAGGAACATTATCCAAAATAAGTAGCAGTACTTGTAATATGATAGATGGATCATTCTATTTGTCGGTAAAGATTATGCAACCTAATTCCCAATAATAACATTACGATATTTGCCCCTTCAGGTTTAAATGTGGGGTTATGTAACGGAGGATAATACATTTGAAAAGTGTTATGATAAAGGCAGTGTAATGATAGGAAAAAATCGTCACGATTTGGTATAGAGTCTAATCTTCCAGAACCGTATGATACTATCATACAAAAAAAAATGTTATCATACCAGTCGGGGTCCTGCAGGAAATTCCCCCTCTCCCCGCGCGGCAAAGGTGCAGTGCCAAGACTAGCAATTTCCTGCAAGGTACCGTATCCTAATGATTGCCGCCGAGTCCACAAGTTACTTATGATACCGCCATATTCAGCTGAGTGGACAAAAGAGAGGATAGAATGGGCAATTTTACGGGTAGGCTAGGCTAGGCCAAACCCCTCCGCGATCCGACTGACTTTCACCATTTGAATAGGGTAAAATTCGTCGCGCACATTTGTGCTGGTTGGCTGGTTAGCTTGCTGGTTGGAAAAACCCTAAGGTCCGTCCTGAGTATGATACTCGAGTATAGGCGCTAAGTTAGCGGTGGCTAACACGGCGCTTAGTCTTCCTCCCCCGCAGCAGCCGTGGCGGTAGGGGGGGGACTATGTCTATAGCTACAGTATTTCATGTCTTATTTAAACCAGATATCACTACTACTGTACTGCAGAAACTAGTGTCGTTAGTGGTGTTGGGGGGTAAGTGTAGCTCTTGCGGGCAAGGGGTGTTTGAGCAGTTGTTCGCGCGCAGGGTGGGGGGGGGGGGGGGGGGGTCTGTGCATTACACGTGCCCTATCGACTACCGATACATGATACCGATAGCCGCGGCACCCTGAGAGCGACACTTTGTCCTTGGAAGGCCCGAAATACCCCTGGCCGTTTGATACGGCTGACATGCTTTTTTAAGGGATTTTCGTGTGTAGGTTAAGCACGCACCCGTTTTGGGGGAATGAAGGGGGGGTACCGGATACTGGTGGCTTCTATCGCGTTTGCGAAATCGGTACTGTGGTGGTAGTAGGCCTAAGTTTCTAAGGTGAGGGGAAGGGGGGGGTGTATATAATATGCTGTGCCCAGGGTTGTACTAGCACCACCGGGCACTGGACGGAAGTTGGGGGCTATCATACCTAGCTTCACCATCTCATCCGGACCGTTCTTCCCAATTATTATTCCTACTCCCGGCAGATTCCTCAAGTCAGTTCTCAAACACCCCCCCCACGTTTCCTATCGCAGCCACATCGCATAGGTGCTATGGACTCACCCACATTTTTGAATGTCACCAGCAGGGGCTCCCACCTCCTGCTCCAACTGAATCTGGTGATCTCCGCCCTCCGCGTACTAGCCAGGGATAACAATATCGACGAGCTAGGAGACCAAATCTGCTCCCTAGCGCTTGGATCGACCGGTGCCGCAATCGGTGGTTCGATAGGCATGCTCGGCGGCCCTGTCGGCATGATCATTGGCGGGGCGTTGGGGGGGATAGTGGGCAGGATTTTGGGCGCCTTTGGCTACGGCAAACTTAAGGAGTTGGTGTCCACTGAAAGAGAGGAGGGGATTATGTCCATTGATTGGATGGGGCTTTCCGAGGACTAGCGGGGGGCTGGATAGCAGCCGGGGGTAAGAGTTCCCTGTTTTGTATACACTTGCTCTCTAGCGTTGGGTAGTTGGGATGTGTTGTGCTGAAGCTGCACGAGTCCAGGGGTATCCCGTAGGGTTTCCGGGGGAAGCAAGCTATATCGTAATATTATTATTAAGGGATTGGGAGGTGGTGGTGGGGAGGAGGGATGCACCTGAGGTTCGATTGTGTAATATTTTTGTACTTCTTTTTTGATCTAGTCCTTAGGATAGAGTGGGAAACACACCCACACACACTTCGCCTTTTCTCTCCTCCCCATGTGCTGTCTCTCTGCCAATAGCAGCTCGGGACTCTGAAGTCAGACTTACAGAAGTCCCACTGTGCGATATGAGATTGCAACGGAGGTGGTGACAATTGTGTTGGTATATAGTTTCTTTCTCCTCTCAAATTCTACTGCAGTTGCTTGTGTTTTTGTTCTCAATCCGGGTACCGGTTTGGACATCTTTATGCTTCCTTCATTACTCCTTTCCTATTATTCTAGTCGATGCTGTAGGTAAATTTAGTAAGAACAACCTCTACTGTCATCTTTTTACTACTTCCCGTTCATATTGCAACAAATTGTGTGAAAATGGGCAAGAGTGATAAATCATAACAATTACCCGGCCATCCTCTTCCTCACCTACGATATGATATCACACAAGTAGGAGTAAAATACTCGTATACCCATTCTCAATAAGCGCCTACCCGCCACCATACAACACCCCCAGAAACACTCGGCGATCCACAATTCGACATAAAGATCCACATAACTAAAGACCAATCAATTACCTAAATGATTCCGAGCACAGCTGTTCTGCAGGAAAAGCCCGCAAAAGAGCACTGCCAAGACGAATATGATACCGGCACAGGATTCCCACATGGGGGGGGGGCCGTTCCTCCCTCCAACCAACCTCGTCCTTACAGCCAATGTTCAGCAGGACAAAAGAAAAAATCGATAAATTTGCACGTTAAATTACCCCCGATTCCCTTCCACCCGATTACCTGTTCAGTAATTTCAACCTGTGCCTAATGTATGGAAATGCGGGTGGAGGTTTGCTTGTTTTTGTCCCCAAACTCGCATATGCTCCTGCCGTTCCCGATCACTTCGCCCACCCACTGGAGGCCACGACCTACGCCGCAGAAGCACATCTCGTCTCGGGAAAGCCTTGAAAGATCTCCGGTTGTCTAGTAGATATGCTTTACAAGGAATTTCGTGCACAGGTAAGGTATGCATCCGCTTTTGGAGAAGGAAGGAGAGTGATCGGCGGCTTCTACTTGAGTACCGGTATTTGTGTTGTGCAGTTGGCGCTATGGTGGTAGGCCTAATATTCATAAGGTGAGGGGGGGGGGGTGTATATAAGATGTTCCGTCGTCCGGGCTTGTTCTGGATACTGAATGAAGTAGGAAACTCTCTGGTTTCCCGTACTATACTCAATCCGCTGTCTTGTTTGTCGCCCTTCCTTATCATCATCCCCCCCCAGCAGAGTTCTCAAGTCGGTTCTCGAACCCCAAAGTCCATAACCACACATCACCAAGATTATGGCCTCATTCTCAGAATGGATCGGAGCCGCCTGGCAGCACGTCCGAAAGAACCCCTCCACAGTTCTAAAAACCATCATCTGTGGTCCACTTAAGATAGTAGAACTAGTAAGCCTTCCCCCTCCCCTATCCCACTCCCAGCCCTGCTAACAATCCAGGTCAAAACAGCAAGGCCCGGCCTGAGTGCCGCCAGCAAGGGCTCCCGCGCCCTCATCCCACTAACCTTAACAATCTCCGCCTTCTGTGTACTAGCCGCGGAGAACAAGATAGAGGAGCTGGCAAACCAGGTATGCTCCCTAGCGCTCGGCTCGGCCGGTGCCGCGATCGGTGGCGCGATCGGTGGACTCGGTGGCCCCATCGGCATGGTCATTGGCGCGATTGTGGGAGGGATAGCAGGCGGGGTACTGGGAGAGTATGGGTGGGGGGAGTTCAGGAAGTGGCTATTCACCGAGGGGGAGGATGGAGTCAGGCCCATCGATAAGATTGCGGATAAGCTGAAGGCCGCGACGGATAAACTCAGGATCTTGACGGAGGTTTCGTCCATAATTATTCATGGGCATAAGGCCGTGTTTGGGGCGCTTTTGAAGAATTGGCGGGGGATGGGGGGTTTGGGAGAGGGTTCGGGGTAAGTGTTCCCTTCTATAACATCATATCGAATAATACACTTTCCTTCTACAATTGGCCAGTTCCGATGTTCCCTTCTGATGCCATGCAGATTTAGGGGAATCCGGTAAGGCTGCCGGGGGAGGCAAGCTATATTAAAGAATTGGGAGGAGGAGTAGGAGGAGGCGGTGGTGGTGGGGAGGGACGAACTTCAGGTTTGATGGTGCAATTTTCCCCTTTCCTAACTTATTTCCCTTCCTCCTCGCCAAAGGCAATCCAATCCGGGATCCTGTAACTAGACCTGGTACTATAGAGTCAATATGATCATGAATTATGATCGCAAAACGGATGTGTGATATTGGCCATCCATTACAGCCTACACGCCAACAGCGGGAGGCCCTAAAAGAACCTCCAATTGTTTGATAGACATGCTCTACGGGTACAAGCACTATACCGTATGATACCCAACCTCGGGCGCCAAGGGTCCGCTGCTGCATGTGCCCACACCAGCGCCGTACTCCACGAGCAGCCTAGCAACTGAATAGTAGCTTACAAATGAAAACCAGGCCAAGACCGCCATTAATATTAGATCGCTCCCGGGCACGGCACCTGCTTGGCATTTTTAGATGTCTATGACAAGAGCTGATTGGTGGACGGCTAACAAACAAGAGGGGAGGGAGATTTGCCCCAAAGAGCTTGCTCAGCAACGATGGTACTTGTATGATATGATATGATAGCAGAACCCCCGGCACCCCCTTGGGTTAGTATGACATGATATGATATCAATTTAGAGAATTTTGATCGTATCATACTCGTGCAACTGCAACCCTGTCCAATGTCAAACGCCCACTATGAAGGGCCGTACCATAACTGCAGTAACCCAAGGGGACCCCCGATAAGCACATTTTTCAGTGGTCACAGTAAATTTTATTGGAAAGCACAGATTCCGGCTCCTGGTGGCAGTAATTGGAAGTTCGCTTGAGCCAGTGACAACCCACACTCTCCGACTTGGCCAATAAGGATTTTCATGAGCAGGCCACCGTACGGTAGATATGCACCCGCTTTTGGGAAAGAAAGAGGGGGATCAGCGGCCCCTACGGTGTTTGTGCAGATGGTGCCGTGGCGGTAGGCCTAAGTTTTTCGAGGTGAGGGGGGAGTATTTAACACGCTCTGTCGCCCGGGGCTGTGCCGGGCACTGGATGGAAGTGCGAGGTGACCTGGCTTCTCGTTACTATACTCACTCATTGTCTTATTTTCTATCCTTCCCCATAATTACTACCCCCGGTGGAGTCTCCAAGCTAGCACTCGAGCTCCAAGGTTTCCTACCACAATCAAATCTCACCAGCACCATGACCTCATTTACAAGGGACCACAGGGGCCCCACGCTAAGTGTCGCGAGGAGGGGGTCCCACCCTCTCCTCCTGCCAAGCATGGCGGTCTCCGCCCTCTGCATACTAGCTGCGGATAACAGGATCGACGAGCTAGCAACCCAAGTCTGCCGCATAGCGGTCGGCACAACCGGTACCGCGATCGGTGGCGCGATCGGTAGGCTCGGTGGCCCCGTCGGCATGATCGTTGGCGCAGCGTTGGGGGGGATAATAGGCGGCATGTTGGGAGACCTTGGGTATGCTAGCTTTAAGGAGTGGTTATTTACCGAGGGGGAGGATGGAGTCAGGCCCATTGATAGGCTTGCAGATAAGCTAAGGAACGCGACGGATAATCTCAGGGCCGCGACCGAGGTTTCGGCCGTGATTGCGTCTGGGCGGGCGGAAGTGTTTAATGTGTCTTCGGGGGATGAGCCAGGGATGGGGGGGTTCGGGAGCGGTTCGGGGTAAGTGTCCCTTTTTATATATCATACTTGCTTTCTGGGGCTGGGTGGCCTGGGTGTGCTGTGTTGACCCTGTGCAGGTTTAGGGGTATTCATTAAGGCATTGAGAGGGAGGAGTGGTGGCGGTGGGGAAGGACGCACCCGAGACCTGATCCTGCAATTTGTCCTGTTTCTCTTCATTTTGACCTGGCTTTTATGATGAACTTAGATATACACTTTGTCTTATCCCCCCTCCTCATGTTTCTCTTCTCTCTTCGTCAATGGTGGTTCGGGATACTATATCATAGCTAGACTTAGCAGAAGTCTCAATATATGATTGCAAAGCGGAGGTGTGATGTTGGTGAGAAAATGGATAAAAGTGATAAGCCATGATGATTACCCGGCCACCCTACAAGTACTCGAGTACGTTCAGACCCCACCACCAAGATCTAGCCACCCCACCATCCATCCTTCCACTACTTCACCAATTCACCCCCACCAAGAAAGGCTTCACCACCTTATAAACCCGCCACCACAGCAACACAAAAATAATAATGGCTTTAAAACCCCTCGCCTCAGAAATCATCACCCTAAAATCTCTAATTAGCCAAACTCGCCCCCTCCTCTACGTCCCAGTTCCCCCTCCTCCTTCCAGTACCACCACTGCTCCAACAATAGCACCCTACCCCCTCCTAAAAGACCTTTCAACACTCCTCCGCGCGCACAGCACGAACCTCTCCATCGCCCTCCGTCCCCCAAACCTACTATACCCCGCAGCCTCAAAAAGCATACAAGAAATCACCAACTTAATCCCACAATACCTCCCAGCAATCCAAGCCCTACCCGAAATCTCATCCCTACGCCGCTGCATTATTCAAAGGGTTGAGGACCTCTTCACCTCGATAGCCCACTCCTTCAGCGATGGCGAAGCAAACAGGGACCGACTCTCCGGCACCGGCGCGATCTGGTCATCCTGCGATGCGCTGATCGCGCTAGAGGCACTGGGGACGTATGGTATCGTAGCGGAATTGGTGCAGAGTTACGAAGCACTTATTTCAGATGCTGCGGGGGAGTTACGGGTTTGGGTTGTGGAAGTTTGTGAAGGTGAGGATGAAGGGTTCGTCGATGATACCGCGAGGGAGGATAGCACGCTGGAGTTCTGGGAGAGGCCGATTGCAGTGGGGGGGAGGAGGGAGGATGTGGTTGTGGTTAGAGGTTTGGTTGAGGTTGCCTTGAAAAAGGTTAGGCTTTTGGAGATCTTGCTAGGGGCTATAAGGAAGAGGAGGTTGGCTGGTGAAGGGGTGGTCGCGGAGGGGGTACTCGAGGAGGTTGTTGAGAAGGCTAAGGGGGTTAGTGAGGCTGTGGATGATGTTGGCATGGGATTTTATGAGGATGAGGTTGGGGAAGCCGTGAGTTTTGTTTCCCTTTTTCATGCTCGGATGGGGGATAGGCTAATCCGGGAAGCCACACACAGGTCGAGGCGCAAAGAAGGTTTCAAGGGGAGGCTGTAAAACTGATTGACCTTGTTTCTTGCAGAGATGGGAGTGTGGAGGATAAGTATACAAAGTGGTTCCACAACTGCCGCGAGGCGTTATCGAAAGAAGGTTGAATGGAATGAATAGCCTTGCAGTTTTAATGTAGAGTCATGAAATATGACTCGTAGTGTATGGGGTATCAAAAAATAACTACCGGTAATATCAAGGCTCACAATATACCTATAGAGCATAATTTATCCATCATATATCGCAAAATAAAAGTCATATTAACATGTAATCCCTACAGCCCCCTCCCCCAACAAAAAAAAAAAAACTCCCATGTGACTGTAAAACCATAACTTTTATCTACACCTTTTTCCCCTCCCAAATAGCAATTTCTATAAAATCTCAACAATAGCGTCATCATCTCTATCCTCTTCCCCTTCCGACTCCTTAATCTTCTCCTCCGGCTCCTCATCCCTCATAAGCACCTGCACTATCCTATCACACGCTTCCTCAACGCTCTCGTCCTCAACAAGTTTGTGCACCTCCCTGATAATGCAATAAACATTCACCCTGCGCAGGTACTCCCTGGCCTCGCGTGTGGTGGTGAGTAGGAGTATAGTTTCCAGGTGCGTGACGATGATATCCTTATCCGACTCGCGCTCCTTGTCGGGAGGTAGGAGTTGGACTTCGGGCGGCATTTCGAGCATTTCCTATCACCCATCAGCAGATTCCAGGGGTGGGAGGCGGTAACGAGGGTGGTGTAGGTACATCTTCAGGATACTCCTCCGGTCCCATAATCGGTAGCAGAATATACGGGAGCAGGTTAATCCCGTCCTCTGCAAGGAAAGTTCTGTGCGACGGTATGTCGAAACATGAATTCCTACCGCATCGCCACCGTCATTGTTAGCCCCCCTCCATCCCACGCGCACGAACCCCGCCGGGCAGGGAAAAAAAAGAAAACCCCACTTAATAGCACTAGCAACCCCCTTCCTCCTCACCAAACTTCCACACTCGGTGAACACAATAACCTTCGAAATGGGAACAACCCCATCATACCCCCTCCTCCCAACAAAGTACTCCCGTCCCTTCACCAAGCGACTAACGTCCGCGAAGAAGTAGCTCAAAAAGTCAAAACATGCCTCCTCGTTCAGCTTCTTATCCGCGCCCCTAACGAACAAATCTAAGAGTTGATCCATAGCATTATCGCTCGTGCTGACCTCCTTCGCCGGGAGCGGACGTGTGAGCGCTATGAGGGACTGGACGGAATCGGACTTGGCAAGATTGGCTAAGAGCATGGAGACCAGGTCCGCATTTGGGTTGGAAAGATTGGTGATCTGCGTAAGCAGGGTTTCTAGGAAAGGCGTGTCTGCCGCTAGGGATGCTAGGATTGGGGGGTCGGAGGAGAGGTTTATAAGGATTTTGAGGGCATTTTTTGCGCGGGGCTTGTCTTTCCGTTAGTGCCGGGTGTGTGGGGGGGGGGGCAGGAAGAAGAGGATATACGGCTATATCGTTCACCAGAACTTTCAGGTTCTTGATGGGCTTCAAGCCCTCCGGTTTGAATATTGAGTTTTGCGGACCTTGACTGTAGCCCACTAGGTGCTCCAATGCTATCTGTCGAACCTCGGGCCGTGGAGATCCCAGGAAGCCCACCAGTTCTTCCTGCAGTTCTGTTAGCTGGGGATGTCACGGCCGCCGGGGAAATGGAATGCCTACAAGTTCTGTAGGCATCGCGTAGCTATCTTTCGCTAATTATCCAGTGTTGAAGGTATTAATAAGTAGACTTTGAGGAGGAACCTCCGCAGTGCAAAAAAAATTATGGTTGCTGAGGCGTGGTGGTGGTGGGGTTATAGTCCAGCATTCATAGTGGGGTCGTTGACTGGGTTTCTTGCTTGGTTGGTTGAGTCGGCAAAATTTAACTAAAAGCCAATCAGGCCATCGCTTGAGTTTCCTGTATGATACTCGTATTCGGCTCATGTGGCATCCGCGAAAGAACCTCACCCTTCACATTCACTCACTCGATTCAGCAAATGAGGACTCTGCTCCGCGTGATTTGGGCCCAGTCGATTCGAGTCGTGGTTCCAATTGCTTTCAAAATTCGAAGCATCATACCAGCAGAAAATAAAAATAAAAATAAATAGGAAAAGAACAGATTATACACTTCTAGAACCTCGCACTTTCGCAATGGAGCCTCTCCCCGCCTCTCTAGTGATATCACAAGTCTCTTGTTTTCTTTACGCCCCGCTAACTCGCTACTATCACACCCAACACCCCACGGCCCTTCTAAATCCCAAGGGTGAATTCAACGCCGACATCGATATCGCGAGCCATCTTGACAAACTTTGAGAACTGAACGGCCTTCTCAGCAGCGTCTTGCAGATCCTCAAAGGAAAATATCTTGAGACCTGACTCGTTGATCTGGAGAATTATCCCTGTTAATAATTTCCGGGAGTCGAGAGAGTCATGAAAGGGGCTCACCAGTTTCTGTGCTTCTTGCATGTTGGTTCCCTGGAGCCTAGCGACGATAGGAATTCTGAGGCTCATGTTCTCGACAGTAGCAATCAATCCCTTGGCAATAGCGTCGCAGCGGACGATGCCACCAAAGATGTTGACAAAGATGGCAGTGACCTTAGGGTCATTAGTGATAATCTGGAAAGCCTGCTCAATGGCCTGTGCAGTAGCTCCACCGCCGCAGTCCAAGAAGTTGGCCGGCTGACCGCCGTTAAGCTTGATAATATCCATAGTAGCCATAGCCAAACCAGCGCCATTAACCAAGCATCCGATATCACCGTCAAGCTTAATGAAGTTCAAGCCATGCCTGCCGCCCCACCCATCAGCCCCCAAACTTCCCACATCTCTAGAACGGCAAGAACATACTCAGCAGCCTTGACCTCATCCGGGTCCTCCTGGGTCTTATCCCTCCACGAGAAAATCTCCTCCTGCCTGAAGTCCGCATTGTCGTCGAATCCCAGCTTAGCATCCATAGCCAAAACTTTATGGTCACTCGTCTCACTAAGTGGATTGATCTCAATCTGCGTAGCATCCTTCTCCACAAACACCTTGTACAGATTCTTGATAGTTTGTGTAGCCTCGGGGATGCACTGCTCCGAGAAGCCCAGGATGGTGGCAACTTTGGTAGCAACTTCATCAGTGACGCCTTTGTGGATATCGATGGGGGTTGTAACGATAGAGTCCGGGTTCTCCTTGGCTACACCTTCGATATCCATACCGCCCTGGGAAGACGAGACGATGATGGGACCTTGCGTGGCCCGGTCCATCAGGATCGCCAGATAGAATTCTCGGCGCGCAAATTTACGCTCGCAGATGTAGACTCCAGTACAGAGCTTCCCCCCTGGGCCCGTCTGCTTTGTGATCAGCTTGTGGCCAATCATTTTGCTGGCAAACATTTTAGCTTCAGTAGGTCTAGATCGAACATCATCAGCTATCATTGAGCTCTCATACTATAAATATCAAGAGAAACTGCATACGAGTAAATCACACGCACACCACCCTTGAGTCCGTTATCGAATGTGCCTTTTCCACGACCACCGGCGAGGACCTGTGCTTTGATAACCATGTCCTCTCCACCTGTAAAAAATTCCAATCACATATCATTAGCTCTTCTCCTTTATTCTCCTTCGCTCAATCCCCCCAATCTGATCCCAACAACATACCAATATCCTTAGCCACAGCCTCCGCTTCCTCTGCAGTCTTCGCGAACGCTCCTCTAGGAACTCCGACACCATACTAAACCACCCCCCAACCCATCCACCCATCAATCAATCAACAAACTCACTTGACCCCCCAGTATCGGCACAATAGAAAGGAAGAAACAATCCCATACCGACTTCAGTAAATCCGCGGAAAGATATTCATGAATCGACAGCTGTCGTTTCTGCGAAATTCCATTCTTAACCTGCGAACTCTACCATATTTTCCATGATCGTCAGCTTCCCTCAAAACGACCCTCAAAACCCCTCACAACCAAAAAAAAAAAAAAAGAGAAGCCAACCCGAATACTCTTCAAAGCCGCCGCAAAAGGCCTACTTCTCGCAAGCCTGAACATCTTGATCATATCGGATGTGTATAAATCTCTAAAAAGGAGGGGGAGTGAAGGAAAAGAGGGAGAAAGGGGAAAAATGAAGAATGGTAGAAAGAAAGAAAGAAAGAATATATTCGGGGTGTGATTGAAGTTCTTCCCCTTCCGTTACGATGCGGTAAGTTATGCCCCTCTGAAAGACCAGCTTGTCCCACCCTTGGAACCGGTGGTTGTGCGCGGATGGGGATGGGTCGTTACCCGGCTAAATTTAGTCCCACCACCAATCATCCAAATAAAATACCTCTTTATGACACCGATCTCCACACATCAAACCATTGTACAAGTACGGCATCTCCTCCTCCTCCTCCACCTCAACCCCGGCGTACCTGCCGTCCACATCCACACACCAGATGAGCACCCCTACATCTACCATAGAAGCCCACCAAGCCCGCATCTCCCTCCACCTCTCGCACACCCGCTCGTTAGTCTCGTCCTGGCTCCCACCACCATCACCAACAGGCCCCGCGGCAGCGCAAAAGACCGAAGAGGAAATACTCCGTGAGGATGAGGAATTTTTCACTCCTATGCCTCCGAGGTTTATCCCCCCCCTTCCAGAATTTTCGGAGCGAATACTAATGAAGAGGGATGGATGGACACGGTAGGCTCGGCCTTGGCGCACCAATACCTAAAGAATTCCTCAATGGGGAGAGAAGAGTCCGGACAAATGATTTGCTAAGGAGGAAGATTATGGGGCGGAGCGCAGGTGGGGGTGGGGGTGGAGGGTCGAAGTCGATGCCTGAAGGGAGGAAGAGGAAGGAAAGGGGGGTTGTGAGGAGCGATGAGGAGGAGGAGGAAGGGAGGTCTGCGCTTGGGAGGAAGAAGAAGAATAAGACAAAAGTCTTGCAAGAGGAGGAAGAGGGTGTCGATAGCTCTGGCATGACTATTACTAGTTCTGCTACTCTTTGTGCTGGTGTCCCTCCTCCTACTACTGGTACTCCTTCCAAAAAGGCAGTCAATAAGCAGAGATCACCCACCCCCCCAACCCGACCCAGCACATTCTCAGATGCGTACCAGGCGCAGAAGGCGAGGAAGAAGAAAAAAAAGAAAAAGAAGAACACCGCCAAAACTGAGCAATCGTGAGCCACGAGGGATGATAGAACCATACCTCAACACTGTACATAAGCCAAACAAAACGAAATAAAATAAAAGCCCATGTCTAAGATTGATATATTTCTAGGTACCATGCCGCCATACCAGGCCCTCCCCAGGAACACGAACACAAAGTCAACCTATCGTAGCGGATGCTTTTTTTTCCGTCGCTTGCTTTTCCGTATTACTTGTTGTACAGTACATACATGTGAGTGTTTTTGCTACCGTATGAGATCGAAGCTCCCAAAACGCCAACATAAAAAATAAATAAATGAATATCTCCTAACTCAAGAAAAAGCAAAGGAAACTAGCATTTCCACCCCCCTCCCTTACATTCCCTAACGCTCCATCCCTAAACGAGAAAAGAAAGAAGAAAATCAAGAAAGAAAACTTCAAAGATAACAACACCGCAAGTGCGAATCCCAATTACTCGTTTTTAGCCCTCCCGTGTGCGCATGATGCCAACTTCCACTCGAGAAGAAAGACACTGCTTCACCCAGCCGACCAGCAAATGCTCGCTGTCGCTTTCCCACCAGGGGTATCTTCCAAGACATCATTACAACAATAATACAGTTTTGAACCCGCCCCAAACCATCAGATGCAGACACAGCAAGAGTCGGATGGGAAGCGTTAGAATTCCGGAAATTCCCTCTCCCACTGGCTCCGGTTGACTAGCCCATGCTATTGAAGCCTCTTCCGTTTTCGGTCATCCGGCTCGCAATCCGACATTCCATCCCTACTGGCTTCCGCCGACAAGTTTGAATCCGGCGGGTTCAATAGGGCATGCACACTACTGGAGGCGAGACTAGATCGTCGGGTCGGTGGAGCAGTGTGCCCTGCCTCCCGTTGCGGTGGAAATTTCGGCCCGCCTCCGCTGAAGCTCCAGTTTGAATCCGAAATACCATTGTTGGAGGTCGTTTCGCTAAGAGGCGGGGTGGTTTGGGAAGTAAACACCGGGTTGTTTGGGGGCCTGTGTTGTTGTATTTCATAGTTTGCCAGAATTTCTCTAGTGTTATCATGCTGAAGATTGGAGCTACGATTCGGTGAGGGAGGCCACTGATTCGAACCAGACATGCCACTAAATGGTGAGTTTGCCTGCCATCCATGCAAACGGATATCCGCAGATGTATGCCGACGAGAAAGGTGGCTAGGGGGCGAGTGGAAAGAGGCCAACGGATGCTGTGCAGGTGGTTGCTGGGACGGCTGCTGAGGGCGCAGAGCATTCGGTGAAGAGCCTCCAGCTAGCCCCACAGACCCAAAACGCCGAGGAGCGTTCGATACCGGTGGTGGTGGTGCCCTAAAATAACCACTTGGACGTAAAGGTCCGGTGATGGAAGAGCGTCGAGATTCGTCCTCCATAGGGCGCTGCCGAGGTGACAATGGGGCCGAATTATCGATAGTCAATGATGATAGGAAAGGCTGGCGCTCACGAAGCAATACCTCCTGTGGCTCTTCTAATAGCTGGGTGTGGCGTTCTATTTCTTTCTGCATCGAATTTACTACACGGCCCGTTAGTCTCGACTATCCCGGGGAGGGGGGGGGGCACCATTGATTGCTTACTTTCGCGAATTATCGGGGCATCGGAGGGGAACAAATTCGTCATAAATTGCGAAAGATCAATTGTCCACTATATACGTATGAGCGGCCACCACACCCAGCAAACTAATCAAAAGCAGAAAACGCAAAACGGAAGGAAAGACAAGGGAAAGTAAACGGGAATCTGATAACAAATGGGGTTCGGGGCTCACCTGGTGGCACCTGGTCAATCCTTCAATAGCAGTTTGAAGACGAATGCCTAACATCGCATTGTGGTCCTCGGAGCGGGCAAGTCGGGAATTGATTTCATACAAAGACTGCTCAATAGACATAAATCGACCATCAATTGAGTCCCCAGGCCGTTCATCCGGAGTTCCCGGAGCAGAAGCAACAGCGCTTTTGGGCCCAGAGAATGAATCCCGGTGAATAAGTGCGTGTCGTGACGCCCGTCTTTTTATATCCCTAAGGCCAACAAGGTCCCCTCTTTTGAAGCTGCCATTCCCGTGCTTGAACTCCCACAAAGTAGCATCCGGAGAGCCAGTGTGAAATACATCATTGACTATATCACACCCGTCAGCATAGTATTATCGACCCCAGGCAAGAGATCTTGACCTTTGTGAAATCCGTACATGTTTAACTGTCTAACAAATGACGATATATTTGTGTGTTTAAAGTATTGACTAAATTCACCCATATGATCAGCCCTCTTCCGGAAGGGATGATGAGATCGTGATGTTAATACCTCAAGACCTTCGAAAACTCCCCAGTGGGAGATACCACAAAGCTCTCGTTAGACGGTGACCAGGATATTAAATGTTGGATATTTGCATCCTCAAGCATGCTAGAACACGTTAACCAGGAAGATCCCGCCTTATTATCCGGAGAGCAAACGGTAAGGGATTCCATACTTGTAAAGTTTGTGAATGAATGCCGTCTGCACTTTGGGTTGTTGAACTCCTCCGGCAGCACCCCCGAGCCCCAACCCTGACCCAGAATTCGGGGCGTTCCCCATGGGTGTGTCCATAGAAGCAGACATCGACATTCCCTCAACCGAATCCATCTCAGGGCTACTGGTATTATCAGCCTTTGGCTCAGACAAAGGCTGCGCCGGCTGGCCCGGTTCACCGGAAAACGGATTCCTTGGCTCAGTATGCTGCTGTTGTTGATCCATTAGTTTCTCGGGCTCCAGATCTAGTGATGCCGCTGACCCGATCCCTAGCAGCAAAAAGTACCCAGTCTCCAGGGAGCGCACTCAAGGGACCAGTAAAGGCCCTATTGTAGGCTTCTTAGAGAACAATGCAATGTGGACAAATAAGATAAATAAGTGAAACGGGCCAATTGGCTATCCTAGAATTTCATGTAGCAGTGACCGAGGCTTCTCGATCCCGTCGAAGGCACGGGTACCGGCAGGTCGGCGATAGAGAAAGGGCGAAAGCGGCGAAATGCTTTTTTTCCTGGGTCCGTCAGTGACAGAAGACGCCTTTCACTATGGTTCTCCTGCCAGAATCCACCAGATCCGTCCCCAAACCTCTTCCGCAATAACTTCTCCGTTGCTTCGTTGGCGGGGCAACAATAACGTGCGCAGCTACCGTGATGTGTGATGAGAATGAATGGGTGGTGCAAATTTTCCTTCGAAGGAAGAGCAAAACGGGAATGAGAAAAAAGAGGAAGAGTCGGACTTCTGGATTCGAGGGAACAAAAAGAGGACCAGTATTCGCCCTCTCGAGGTATGCAGGGGCACCAAAAATAAAGGACAAGATAAGCAGGCACGGAGCCACTGGAGCAAGAATGGCAAAACAGAAACTCTTGGGTCGTTGTCGTAGGAGAGTAGTCGCGGCTCTAGACTAATTGAGGGTTGCAACCGAAGCGAAGACGACTAGCCTCCAAAAAGTGAGTGACAGGTGACGGTTGACTACGGCGGTACCAGACTTGGGGGGGGGGGGCAAATATGGCGGAGTGACAATTTTCGCTGCAGAAGAGGGAAAGAAAAGAAGAGGGAAAAGAGGGATGATTGATAGACAGGTGATGAAGGGGTACAATTTTTTAATATTTTTTTTTTATTATTATTCTTTCTTTCTTCCTCCTTTTTTTTCCTTGAAGCAATGAGAGTCAAGTAGGGGAAGAAGGCATGCGGAGCAGAAGGAAAATATACACAAGCAGAGGCAGCGGCGGCGGTACGGCAACCAACCCGGGACCAAAAGTGCGGCGCCGGCGGCAGAAGGCAGAAGGCAGTCAATAACCCAAGCAAAGTAAAAAGGTCGGGACCAAGTGGGTGAGACGAAAGGTGCGGAGAATGGAAAGGAGGGAAAAGAAAAGAAAAAAATCGAATGGGGGGCACCGCAAGTGAGAAAGTGAAGGGGGATCTCCTCTTACCGTGCCAAAGCCCAGAAGCGGTAGATATCGCAGGATACGTATGTATGTATGCAGTGGGCAGGGTAGGGGTGGAGAGAATGATAGCAGTATTAAACCCGGGGAAATGTAAAGAGAAGAACTGGAAGTGGAAAAGAAACGGAAGGAAAGGGAGAAGTGGAAGTGGAAGAAGATGTGAAAAGATTTTTAGGGAGAGAGGCTCACTTTTTCCGGGGACAATCACCATCAACAATTGGCGGGCCGATTTCACATTTGCATGAGTTGGGGGGGGGGGGGGGGGCATGAGTCGGAAAAAGGGGAGATCTGGAGTCAGGAAGTACTCGTACAGTGCTTCATCGTCTAATTTCGAAGGAATAGGGCACGCATAGCTGGCGGCCTAGAAGAAGACTCTTTCTTATGTGGGTGTGGGTGTGGGCTGGATAGGTGGGCTTGAGTGTGTGTGAGCAAGCCAAGGTGGAAGGTATGGGGATGGATGATTGGGATGAGGATTTGGGATGGGAGCCGATGGGGATGTGAATGAAATGTATGATTGATGCCCATGGTCTGTGGCTCGTACTGTAAAGGGGAAGTTTCATGCTGATCTGGCACAGTTCGGCGCTCTGGAACTCGCCTCCATCTGCCTTCATTCCTCTCACTCACTCATTCTCACCCTCTCACCCTCTCCATCCCCTAGGCTTCTCACCTGGCTATCCCTCTCTCTACCCGTACTGGTATATACAAGTGTCATACGGTGTCACACTTGTGTTCCCCATACGGTAACCGCATCTTATCCCTATGCCCTATCCCCATCCTCACTCCCTTCTCCCCTCCTGCTTCTTGTTCCGTAAAGCAGGTAACCTCTGTATGATACCTGTACCAGCACTCGCACAATACCGACACCCTACTCCAACTGTACTGAGTACAGTACAGTACAATATTCCTCATCTATGATACGCCTCAATCCTTGCTCCCTGCCCTCCTTAATCACCCGGACTCGCGACTTCCCTTCCCTTCCCTTCCATGTCCTCCACCTGCGGACACACAGGATACAGCCATTCACAGCTCCATATGCGGACTCCAGCCCTGCGAGCCTACGACTGCTGCATACTTTCGACTCTCGTTAGATGAGAGTGCGAGAGCCACTCGCAATCGGACTGCCGCACAGTAACTCCTGCTGCGCGTGCATGTCTCAAGAAGGTCCTTAAGTGGTAAAGGTGCGAAATATGCGTCTCTACCACCGACTTTTGACCGCAAGCCCCCAAGCTAAAGAGAAAAAAAAAGCAAGACTGGTAACGACAAACGTTAAAATGGGCTCGAAAAATAGCAGCATTGAAAGGGATACCGTAGATGGGCAAAAATAAAAAAACAAAAATCAATATGTGCCTGCCCGTCATGGTTTACATGCGTCCGTGCGAATCCTCCCCAGCATTGACGACGGTTTTGATTTTCTACTTTCTTTTTCTTTTTCCTTTTTTTTTTATACCCAGAATCTCCAGAAACCCGTGAGGTTCTGTTCTGTGCACGGATGACGGATGGAGTTCAACGTGGTACAAGACAATGGTAGCCTGCCTAGTCCTGCGAAAGACCTACCGTACATTACCATGCTGTATGGCTAGGCTCTTTAATGATGAAAGGGGAAGAAGCGACAAAAGAAAAAAAGAAAAAAAATAAGTAACAATAAGCGCAACAAAAGTCTCCCTACCATATCCTAGGTCTGATACCGTGATCCATTCAAAGGTTCCCTCCCGTGACGTGATCCTCAATCAGAGACAAAAGAGATCGGGGACGAACCTCTCCGCTAGAGCATCAGGTGTAAGGCCCATGATCTGTGTGGTCCCTTTCGGTCGCATTGCTGCCTATACCGGCACATGGTTCACTCCGCTCTCTGGGAATACCAGAGCTGCAGAGCCATAGCATGGGGGGATCGGATGGTTAGAAACGTATCATATCAAATACCGTGGGGCACGCCGGAAGCACTATCATAGCTCGCTAACGTTGAGCCTTAGATGAGGCCTCGATCTGATCGTCCTACCTCTTCGACTAGTTTAGAGCACACGAATAATAAGCAATTTAAGATGTCGCAAGCGGGGATAGAGCCCGTGCTCAAATCGACATCCGATTGAGTGAGATTTCGAGCTGCTAGCAGCAACAACAATAACAACAACAACAATAACAACAATAATAACAATAACAGTATGATAGTAACAACAGTATGATAGCAGCAGCAGCAGCAGGCAGGCAGGCAGGCATGGCAAGGGCAAAGTTACTGTATATGATAGTAGGCAGGAAGAGTGGCAGCAGGGAGTAACATAAGAGATAAGAGGACGAGCCGGTCAATCATTATGAAGTGCAGGCTGTGGGAATGGGGGCCCTACCAGCACTACTAGTACAGGTAGTACAGCACTAGCACTCGAGCGGATTCAGCAAATATGATGGGCTGGGGAATGTAGGCGTCCCCCCCACGACCACTGCCTCTCCCGCCGGTCTGCACGCATCTGTAGGACTGGATGTATGTCTACCAAATCTGCCATGCCTCAGGAAACATCTCTAATGGTGGGCACTCGCGTATGCCGGTAGACTAGTTACTCGAGTAAGTTACTGTGCCCGTCGTTGAACTTGTCACAACCGCGCGTGGTTGACCGACTTGGCTGCGCCATGGGTACACCACACGGTACCAGCTGCCAGTTGCCTTCTGCCAGACTGCCACCCCTATCACCACCAACTCCCCCCCCCTCATTGCAGAAAACGCAATTTCAGCTTTAACCGAAAGTTTTGTTAGATATGATGGTATTATTATTATTATTTTTCACTTTTCTTCCCTTCTCCTTTTACTCAATCTGACCATTCTCCATTCCTTCTTCTCCCCCCTTTGCTTGTTCATTTGTCGAGCGAGGCCTGGAAGGAAAGGAAAAGAAAAATAAAGCATTCCACACGTTAGCTTCTTCACCTTTCCGTCGTGTGTAAAAACTCACCTCGAATTGAACCATCACACAGTAGCACTTGGGCATGCAAGTGACTCGTGGAATGGTTGGCCTTCAAGCCGCCATCTCCGATGTTCCAAGGACGAATGCAAAGGGAAAGATGAAAAAGAAAGACGAAAAAGAAAAAAAGCCTGACTATTGATAGACGAGGATCCCGGACAGATTTTCATCTTCCGTCGGCAGCTAAACTATGGATGATGCCGTTTCCGGCCCAATATGTCCTTGGCATCTTTTGTTGAGGTCCGGACGCCGGCCTTTGCTCGAAATGGTGATTCCCGGTATTTACAAGTATGATGACCTCTGCTACCGGAGGTTCTTCGGTTGGGTCCGGTTGCGGAGCACAAAATAATTTACACTCAAGTTACGGTGTAACTCTGTGACAATTTTGGGATATTCCCCTCAAGGATCATGATGTCGTGAGAACGAGGAACTGGTTCTCAGTGTGATATCAGCATCATACTTGCATCAATCGGCGTCACTGGACTGAATATCTTCCTCAATCTATCGTACCGTACTCACAATACAGCGGGTTGATATCTTTGATATTCGACTCAAGATACCCTACGAGTGCCCCATGGCCCCTTTTCCTCGCGGAGACATGCTCTGCGGAAGACTGCGCTAATGCAGAGAGTTCTGGAACCGCTATAACTACTGTAGTATCAAGTCAAGAGTGGGGGGGGGGGGGTATAGGACACGCGCGATTCTCGCTTGTTCCCTTCTCCGCTGCCTTACCGTACTCTACGAGTACTGGTATCATACTGGCACTCTATTGATCATATCCCGTTTATGGCAGGATGATCCGCTTCGCTAAGGTACTGTGCTGTACCGGTACTAGTGCTCGTACAGTGCCATAACAGCCCCTGCACGGCAAACTGACAGAAGTCGAGAGGGAGTGAGGGGGAGAGACGGGGGGAGGGAAGTGAATGTGATACCGTAGAGGGATCGACAATCTCAACGACCAGGCGACCAATACCGGTGTTACCAAACATTTTTGGTGAATACCCAAGGCGCTTCCATCTCCTTCCACTTCTTCTACGGCGATTCTCAAATTCCATGTGTTTGTTGTGAAAACGGGTAATGTATCCTAACAGGATCAGAATAAGAAAAGCAAGAAGGTAAATTAAAAAACAAAAACAAAAAAACTGCCACCCCCAATCGCTCCAACCTGCTGTATCCGGTGCTCGCATTCATTATCCTCAAGTAGGGACAAAACACTTTGAAGTGTTGCCCAGGCCGGTAGGCAAAGGCGGTTCCGACAGCAAAAGTAAAAAAACGGCCCGCTTCCTCGCGTTTAGAAAAGTAACAAGATATCATGCTCATTCTCCTCTCTTCCTACTCGAGCACTCGGGCGCCGGTAGGCTGCAGCAGTGCTGTTACTCCTTGTTGTTGGAGAATTAGCATCAAGCCTGCCCCACATATCACTTTACCAGTATCCTATTCAGCTTAACTGTGCCTTTCCCCCATCCCCACCTCCTCTCCTGGCTACTCTCTTTTTTTCCTTCTGAGATCTTGACACTTTATATGGGGATAAAATAAAAGAGAAGTGAGAGAGAGAAAGGCCCTCGATCTGCTTCCCTCCGCCCAACCCATTGATTATGTCGAGGGACCTCTCCAGCCGGGACTGACCAACATTCATTCTGGCTCAGTAATAGGATGCCGATCTGCCAAGAGCGCTCTCTTTACAGGTTAATATGATATCGTACCTTGGCAAATATCTTTTGCCGGTCTTTGCCAAGGAAATTGACAGCAAAATGGCCCAACGAGTACCGTGCCGAACTCCAGTACTCGTACCCTATCTCCATAAAAACTTGAGGTATGATATGATAATGTTATGATACCGATATTCCAATCCTTTCTCTATCGATGTGTAGGAAGAGGGAAGAGGGCCATCCACCCTATCATCTGATAGAGCAACAGTTATCATCGGACTGGGGGTTGGAAATCTTTTGGCCGTTGGAGTTGGACGATGTCTTGTTGGAAAAGAGCACTTGGGCTACCCATAGGGATTACCCAGTGTGAATGACTTCCCTCTCTCTCGCAGGTTATTTTTTGAAATCACGTGATCGATGGCGCAACGGTAGGCTTACTACAGTATGATACCGTAAGTTCTCGTACATTCGCTGACTAATAACGCTCCCTCACTTTGTGCGATGATGTCCTGAAGTAACATACGTGGAAGGCTTCCCCGAACGCAATCCTCCCGAAGACAACCCCAAGAAATATCATGTCGGACTTTGCAGCTTTCCTTGGTCAGGCTCCGCCGGTGAGCAGGTATGTTAATCCTCTTAGCCGAGAGATCCCCGCACCCCCTTGGAAAGTCCCTTGGTTCGGAGGGGGGGGGTTGGGCTGTGGTTTCAATGTGTTATCTTTCTTCGTGCTGTGCTGCGGCGGCGGTGATGTGGAATATGCCAAACTGATGGATCGATGAAATTTTTAGGGTCTTTGCTGGGCTCACGTTTTTGTTATCGTTCTCTGCTCATGTTTTGAGGATCCAAGCCGTCCATCCATACTACTTAACATGGTATGCACCTATGGTGTTTAATACTACACGGCCGGAAGTATGGAGGATCGTGACCTCGTTTATGATATCAAGACCTGGCATGGTATGAGTTGTTATACCTCTCCCCTTCCACGCGGTGAGGCATATGCTTACTGTCTCTCATATAGTCGGTTCTCCTGACACCTTTCTTCCGTGAGCAGCCAACCCCGATATTACGCTCACTTTTCAGTTACCGGTATAGCTGACTGCTCTTTTTCTTTTTCTTCTCTCCGATGAAGTGTATAAATACTGCAGCGAGTAAGTGCAACCAAGCCTGTGAGATTTTGGCGGTGGGTCGCTGATATGTGAATTTAGTTGCGAGACAAAAAAGTTTCTGAGATCCGGAGACTTATTAGTATTTGTGCTCTTTTGTGGATTTGTGATTCTGGTAGGTGGCCATACGAAGTCCTATAACCAACAAATATCACATACCATCCCCCACCCCACGCAACCCCTGCAATCACGCGCAATCGCATAACAAACGCTAACCTAGCCTACCAAACCCGCAGCTCCTAAACACCTTCATCCTGCAAGGAATGCTCCTTTGTAGCGCCATGACTATCGCCCTGGCATACTACTGGACCGCTCTCGAGAGCAAGGATAACTCAGTCAACTTCTTCATCGTCCGCTTTCCAGTGAAGTACCTCCCTTGGGTCATGATTTTCGTCACTTTAGTGGCAGAAGATGTCGGCTCAGCCCTCGTCGAGGGAACCGGCATCATAGCAGCGCACCTCTACCTCTTCCTCACAAACATCTGGCCCCGCGTTGCCGGCGGTCGACACGTAATCTACACTCCGCAATGGGTCTACAGGTTATTCGAGGAGCACGGTGATCCGGCCGCTAGGGGTATTCGTGCTGGCGCCTCGCCTTCTGTGGCTGCGACGGGGCCTGCTGGAGGCGCGGGTGCTACTGGGAGGAGCGCGTTTGCGCCGTCAGGGACTTGGACGCATAGGGGGCAAGGGCATCGATTGGGGAGCTAGCCGGTTTCCCGAGCTGGGGTTGGGGTGGATATAATGGATTAAATCAAGTAGGTACGATAGGCAGTATGAGGTTGGTTAGAAAAATATACCTGGCTTTCCCTCTTGACTCTGTTTTGTGTTGCCCTATACAGTCTACTGTGTGTTCGTCTATCGGCATGCCGAGGTGGAAACGGGTTCTTTGTATCGCATTTCCAGGCACGGAAAAACCTAGTTACTGGATTAAACCGGATTGTGCATCATCTTTTCCACTGTTCTTTTTTTTTTTTTTTTTCGTTTCTTATTTCTTTTTTACCCACGGATGATGTGTTATTGCATGATTTAGTATTAAAAGCCCCGCCAGGAATAGTGCCTGTGCTTTGTCCGTCTATTCCTCAGCAAGCATGATCATGCGAAAACATCAGGACAGTTTACTCATCCCCTCCGAGATGACCCCCTCACGAGTGAGATTCCGTGAGTCATGCGATTCCCCAGCACTTGCTGAATCAGGGAATGTAGAGCGTCGGCGGCGGGGCGCCCTATCCCGGAAAGATATTGTGTACTAGTACTCGAGTAGGTGAATGGGTTATGAGAGTTGAATGAGTTGAATAAGTGAATAAGTAAATATATAATATGCACCCCCCTACTCCGTGGCTAATGAACAAAGATATGAATGAATGAATGAATGAATATGATGGGTGAATAAACAGATCTCAAGTTGAGGAAAAATATTCCAGAATATCATATATACAATGGGCCGCCGCCGCCGAATCGCTGGTGGTTCTGGGTGACTTGCCAACTACCCGTTACCGAAATTTCCATCTCTCCTTAATTCCTCCATCATCAGCCTTTCGGTTTCCAAATCGTCCATTCCGGAGTAATCCTCTTCGGCTTCCCTCTTCCTCTTAAGCCCCTCCCCTCCACCGCCGGTCCCCTGCCTCGCTAGTACCGCATCCCTCTCCCTCCTCATGATTTCCCTCCTCGCTCCAATCTCTCTCTTCAACCTCTCATCAGCCCTAACCTCAGACTCCCACTCCCTCCTCCCAACCCCTTCCCACCACTCCTTCACAGATCTGTAGCCCTCCACGCCACCCGCATCCAGCAGGAACCACTCCGCGGGGGTCGTCGGGAAGGCGTTGATGTTTCCATGCCCCGTGGCGCGGCCGACCTTCGCCATCTTGACTGGCGGGCCGATGCGCTCATCCCAGTGCTTGTCGTCGAGGATCTCTCTCCAGTTCTGGTCGGCCAGGGTATCATTCCAGTGTTTGTCTATTGTGAGGTTACGCAGGGCGAGTATGGTTCCCGGGGTGGGTTGGAATTTGGAGTGGTCGCGCCAGACGCTTAGGATCGTTTTGCGACGGCGGTGGGGAAGATGAGGGGGGGTGGTGGTAGAGGGGGAAGGGGGGAGGAGTTTGCTGGTGGGGTCCCAGAGGTACCAGTCTTGTTTTGACCCATCCAGGGATTTGTTGTCGTACGGATGACGGCGACAGAGGAGGACTGCAAGGAATGCTATGGGAGTGTTAGATATGTATATGCATAGGTGAGAGGTAAGGAGAAAGGGAGGGGGGTTGTATACAAGCTCTTGTTCCGTGTGTTGCTGTTTCCAGTCCACCAAATGTCATTCGTCGGTCTGCCCACGAGATCGAGCTATTCCGGGGAATGCCCGGAATCGTAGGAACATGGTCGGTTGCAGAGCTGGAGGTGAGATCCGGATCTCTATTATTGGAGGCCTTTTTCTGTGACAGAAATCGTGAAGGCGATAACACCCCCGAAACTAACCCACTAATCGTCAGTCCCTAGTTCGCGGGTAGCTCAAAGTTTCAAGGCAGTTCGCACCAGCCCGCTGCGGCAAAGGCTTCAAGACTATCGCCGGAGGTGGCACAATCGGAATCTTAACCTCACTCTTCACCATTTCCTTCTTCACCTCCTCATCCTCCCTCTCTTTCCTCTTCCCCGGTGAGAGGATCACCAGCCCACGTATCAAGAGACAACTACTCCTGCCGTGGATCGCCAAATTAGCGCCCACTCACCCACTCACCCACAAAGGAAAAAAAGCATACGGCAACTCCGTCTCCCCGCTCCCAAACGTCGGCCTAACAACGTTAAATCCATTCCCAACCGGACTCCTACACCGCCGTTTACCCGGCGGTGAGGACCAAGCCTCATCTCCATCCTCAGCTTTGGGTTGTCGAGCCTGCTTGATAACCTCGTAGTTTGTCAGCCGCACAATGTGGCCCTTGCACAGTTTGTTGCTGGAGACGAGGTCATGTAGGTCTTTGTCCTGGAGGAGTGCTGGTAGTGATTGATTGAAAGGTTAACTTGTACCGAGCGGAGGAGGGGGGAGGGCGGGAAAGCAATACCATGCGTCCAATGGGCTGTGTCTGATAATCGTAACTTTGCTGCGGATTTATCCTTAGCTTCCTCGGGCTCATTCTGGGTCTGGGCCGGAGTGGTGGCGGTGGTGGTGGTGTAGTCTTTCAACTGGTGGTCAACGTTGTTGTTGCCGCTGTAGACTAGACTTGCGTTCGTGACTTGTAACACCGGCTGCGGGAATTCTGAAGATGGGTTTTTGGAGTTGAGGATGTTTTGGAGGACGATTTTGACAGCGGGGGGCTGCATTGCTGCGGCTGTGGCTGCAGGTAGTAGTGGATCCACTCGAGGGGTCTGATAGTGGAGTGTGGTTGGGATGTGACAATCGAAACGCGTGAGGGATGGTGGGGCAGGGTGAGTTTGTACCGGCAGCACCCTAATTTACGCGTGCAGCAAAAAAGGCCGTGTGATATCATGGTGGCAAATGTTATTGTAAACCTATGATACAGGACGAGTACAGTACAAATGCAATTGGACTTGCCCTAGCGATAAAGCCTCGACTAAATCATTAAAACATTTACGGTATGATATACTACAGATTTGATACGCATACGGGAGAGGGGGAAGAAGGGGGATATTAGGAATATTGGCCGTGCACACTGGGGCCTAAACATCAATCTCCATATCATGTTCCATCTGCGCCCTATTCCTCCTGGCATTCTGCGCTTGAAACCACTTCTTCTCCCAGCCGTTCCCCCGGTCAACACCATCCCACTGATGTCCCGGCAAGATCCCATACCTATTCGGCGGCGCAGCACCCTGATACAGTGGCTTTCCTGTCTTACTAACTCCCTTCTTCCTGCTGCTCAGGAAGGCCATCGCGGGATCGTTCCAGCGATCCCGTTCCCTCAGTTCCTCATTGAGCTCTTTATCATCGGCGTAGCGCGCCATGGGCGCATACTTTGCCTCTTCAAGTTTCTTCTTCCTCTCTGCCCCCTGCACGAGCTGTACATCGCCCTTCAAGTGCTCCTCCAACTTCCGCTGCTTGGCCTCTTCCTCCTCCAACTTCTTCCTAGCCTCGACGCGAGCCATGGCGATGTTGATTATTCGTCCTGAGGCATCGCGATAGATGGTCTCTTGCCCCCTCCCGCTGGTCTCCGGATCTTCCGCTGCGAAGCGTGCGGCTTCGGCTTTTCGTTGGCGCTCCAGCTGAGCAGCTACCTGTGCGGCGGTTTGGAGACCGGCGTGAGCGCCACTGGACATTTTCTGTACTGTCGTGGGCTTCTCACCCTCTTCTTCAACAACTGCCGGTTGATCTTCCTGGTTCCCCGGTTTCATCGCAGAAATTATCGCGTCGGCGTCGTCATCGTCGTCGTCGTCGTCCACTGATTTCCAGTTGGACTTTGTCGTCCGACGGAAGGCCTTTGTCATTTCGCCAACTGTGAATTAAATTAGCGAATCCAAGGACCGGCTGACAGCGAGAAATTACACCCGTCAGTGTTTTATATATAAGAATAGTCACATCGAGGTCATGCGTTTAAATCCGGGCAATGTGTAAGACGGGGGGAATCATACCGGTAACCGGATCATCCTCATCCCCATTCTCCTTGTTATTATCCCAGCCCAGCACATCATCGTCCGCTATGATCACGCCAGCCTCTTTGCGCTTCCGTTTCTTCGCCTTCTTCGTGGAGTCGTCCTTCGTTAGGTATTTCTGTAGGTATTCCGCTCGTGACATTGCTCGTTCCGTCGGGTCCTGGCTTGTGTTGGTGATGGAAAGCTCGCAGTTTCGGGCAAGTGAGAGGGAGTGTGTGTATTAGTCAGGTGTAGCCGTGTTGGTAACCAATTGTCCCATGTGACGGCAGGCTACGGGTATCGGAGCCATGATACGGTATTAGCATAGATTTGGCAAGGGTTGTCATACAGGACCATTCTGGCGCAGTCACCCGTGACGCCGGATCACAGTAAATCTACCAGTATCCAGGAGTCACCGATCCGCTCCTGGGCCTTAAAGTCGGAGGGAATCTACAGACAAGCAAGGCCTGAAACCTTCTCCACGCGCACCCGGTATCACACGTTTCTGCGCTCTTCTCTCTCTCTCTCTCTCCCCTCCTCTCTCTCTCTTCTTACTCCGGGTTCTACCGTGTTCGGCTTTCGCACCTTGGAAGGGTTCACATCACAGCTACAGTACGATAGATAGCTGGCTAGCCACCCAACTTACAGTATGCCGCGCTCAGATGAGGCTACGGCCTTCTACGAAGCTGTCTATACGGCCGTCCAGGTACGGCACTCATCCCCTTCCCCATGCATGACACAATGTAATATCCTAGAAGTCTAAACTGCACCTCCCCTTCAAAAAAAAATGCAGGAAATACCTTATGGAAAGGTCACTTCGTACGGCCATATCGCCCACTTGATAGGAAAGCGTAAGTAGAGTAGGAAAAAGAAAAGAAGACCCCAGCATGGCTAATATTCGCACCTTCTAGCACAATGTCCAAGGTTAGTATCATATCATGCAGTACATACGCTGCCCCCGAGACTCCCCAAACAAGACCGGAAAATCAGGGAATGAACGAATGAACAAACCTCCTCCTCCCCAAGCCCGGTAGACCAAAAGCATCGTTCATTTCAACTCACGCTGCCGTACAGACAAGTCGGTCAAGCCTTGAAACACCTTCCAGCGGATCCAGCAAACACGTTTCACCATGGAAACGTCCCGTGGCAGAGGGTCATCGCAGCCAGCGGGATAATCCCTAAACGGTACTTTTCCCCCTCTATCCTCCCGCCATTATTTCTCACCTCACTTTACCTTACCTACCTTGCCTTGCCCTGCCCGTCGCCCCATTATTACTATTTCCCCAACGAGGTTCCGGCACGATACGGTAGCTCGCCCTGTTCCTTTCCTCTTACCATCTGTGCTTGTATGTCTCTCTGTCCGGCATAGGCATACATACATACACACATACATACATACATATATACATAGGAGTACAGTACAGGCAGACAGGCCAGTCCCGTACGACGCAATTGATCCAAGCCCCATTTTCACCCATTCCCAGCGGTTACCCACGGCCTGCCTACCTGCCTGTCCTGGCTCTACAGTGCAGTGCCATACCCTTCCCAAATAATCCCCTCACTTCTTCCCCAAGCCGGAAACTTAACACAAACCCCAAACCCTTCCTTTCCCCTCCACTGACTTATAATAACCGCCCCCCCTCCCCCAGGGACAACTCCTCCGGCACAGCACGTCACGCCCAAACCCTCCGCGGCGAGGGAGTGGTTGTGACGACAACGGGGGGAGAACTTCACGTGGACTTGAGTGGTGAGCACGGCTGGTTTCCAAATGTGCTCCCATCCAAGGCCAAGGGCGGTGGCGGGGATTGGGTAAGCGAGGAAACAATGTTTCCGGTCTTATTTTAGCGTTTTGGGGCTTGTTGGCTGCTTGTACCGATACTGCATGTACGGTACTAGTACTGAGAGTACTGAGAGGGGGGGGGTTGAGCTATGGTATTGATTGTACTTGCACCGCGGGTTATTACAAGTATTCGTACGGAACTTACGCTTTCTGGCCTGGATCTGGGTAAAAGCTCTTCAAGCGAGGCGGAGCTTTAGATTTGTGGGTGAGTCGTAGTCCACCCGTACTGGGGGGTTGTCAGGAGTTCAGGGTGATGACGGCGGGGAAAGAAGGTAATGGAAAGTGAATTATGGAAACGGAAGTGAGTGAGCGAGAGCCCGCTGGATTGATAATACCGTATCGTACCTTTGTTCCGCCTGCTTGATCGGGCGCATGCACTGCACCCGGCATCTGGGCGCTGACCAGCCACGTTTGGGGCTCAGCCATTATACTCATACAACGAAATGGGATTGACGGAATGCCGGAAGATACGTCATCCGGGCAGTGAATGAGAGAGAGAGAGAAGGACAGAAAGTGGTAGACTACGAGTAGGGAAGGAGGGAGAGAGAAGGGGAGAAAGAAAGAGAGAGAGGGAGAGAGAGAGAAGGGTTTGATGAATCATTCGTTCATTCTTATCCGAGACCACCCTATGATATGATACCCTTGTTGCCGTAGGACAATAGCTTACAATGAGACTCAGCTTTCACAAGCATCCCTCCCCTCCCTCTCTACTTTTCCGTCGGTATTGTGAGTGAGCTAAAGTATATTATCATACCGCATTCATCTTTAATTCTGCAAGTAAATTTAATCACCGTCCGAGATACCTCTGCTCTTTCCCCGTAATTAATCCCTTCCACTCCAAAAGACCTCTCCCTTCCTCCTAGCCCGGTCCCGCTACTCCTGGCGTTGATTTAACGGGGGAAACCGCGATCTGGTCCGGAAGAAGATAAGGTATGGCAAGTTCGAAAGGGAAGCATACTCGTAGAGGGTAGCCCCCTTCCGATCGGGGGGGGTGAGGGGTGGGGGAACACTTTCACTTTCACAATACCCGGCCTTCCTCCTCCCCCTACTTGTTTTGGCTTCTCCGGGTGTGTTCTTGATTCATTGTATAAATGTAAAAAAGAATGGATGTGTTGTATATGTAAGTCCAAGTGCTCGGGTTGTCGGTTGCTAAATAGTGGTGGTGGTGGTTGTGCACAGATGCACCTCCAATTTCGTTGAGCCCAGTCTATCTCTTCCGTGCCCGTTATATATGCGCTAATGCATCGGTATGTAAAAGAGTACCGGTACGCTGTAGCTCGTTTGGTGGTGGGTTGCGGCTAACCTCGTTTCTGGTGGTTGCTATGAGGCCCGGCGGACCAGACCGCACCACGGGTTCACTTAAGGCCCATCCACTCGAGCGTAGGCGTCACCAGGATGCGCTATGAGAAACTCGACTCAGAGGACGAACGTCGTAAAGCCTCCCCCCCACCCCCCCAAGGATAGGTCTGAGTTGGTGGGTGGGATGAGTGATGGGCCAGGAATGAATTGAAGCGGACTGACCCTGAGCTCGCTCCTTCTCGTTCCTTTCCCTATTTTCGCAACCTGAACTCGCATCCAGCTGCTACCGTCATCATCTCTGAGAGCTGCTCACACGTGCAGCTGAAGCTCTATAAAATAAAGCTCCTGCCCGCCCTCCGACCTTCCTCTCTCCCTCCCTTCTCCCCCTTCTCCCGCCTTCCCGCCACCCTACATCCAATCTCCACCAGTCTATTGCCCATTTTCCATTGCTAGACTCACCTTCATCATCTCCACCTCACGGTAGCTCTCACCCCCACATCCACTTTCTTTCATTGCCTCTCACCCCCTTCACCGGTCTTCACAACACTCTTGTCTGCATCCCAGTTAACCACACGCAAGCTTTCATCCAACAACCATAGCACATATCCTCTCCAATATCCCAAACCCCGACGAAACCATGGCCGGCGATCTCCCTGTCAGCGATCTTACTGCTGATCTCAGAGGCCCGGCTGTTGAACGGCGACGCGGAAAGGAGGTAAAGCTACCCTTTCCTCTCGTCGATCAACTCCCATGACTGACCTGGCTTTCCGTAGCGACGTATCAAGTACCGAAATACCAATATGGCTCTCCTTGGGCAGCCTAAAACTTTCTCTTGGCTAAATGATACCAAGCCCGCACCCGTCTGGAACGACCGAAACAAGTAAGTTCATATGTCCAAGCACAAACTGGTAATTAGTACCAACAATCCATCAAGGTTCCAGATGCCTCGACCTGATCTCCGCAACTGTCATTGCCACGAATGCCGTAGCTGGTGCGGGAAAGCACAGAATAAGAAGAAGGCCAATGAAAGACTCGACTGGGATGATGAAATCTGCACAGCTCGGCAATACCCTCTCTCACCATCAGCCGAAGAGAGGGAATATCTCTGGGGCGATTCGTCTTCGGATAGTGACTCGATGGAAGGTGTCGCTTATTCATATGATAAACTAGGGCCCAGCGCGGGAACAGATACCTGGAGCTATGCTTTAACTGAGGCTGTCAAGAAGTTCGAGAGCAAGGAGTTGGCCACCTTGATCAAGAACGAGTATGAGATTGTCGACCCGAGCGATTCGGATGAAGACTTTGAGCTGATCTAGATTCGATGAGAGGGGCTCTGCATCGCTGTCCCGGGCATATAACTGGATGGAATGCATAGCCCTGATAACGACTATCGACGGTGATGATTTTGATGTTTGTAGAATTTGAGTTTTTGTCGAGTACCGGGCGGTTTTTTTTTCTGGCTAGCTGCCTTCTTAATCCTGCTTCTATTACCTCGTATAGTTTAACTGCCTTTGCGAACCTCGTACTTGGGGTGGATGGAGCATGTTTATTTTTGTCGATTACCGTTCATAACTGCTTCTCCTTATTTCTTTCCTTCCGCCGTTTTGGTGCTTTGTTTTTTCTTTTTCTTTTTGACGGATAGGTTTCGATGGAGCACTAGAACTTGTCGGAGATTGAGCTTTGAGTTCTCTTTCTCTCTCTTTCCTTTTCTCGATGGGATTTGATATTCTCGATGGTGTTTGTATGGCGGTTTCTGGTGCTTGCCCCTAGGTGTGATAGCTTTTCTACGGAGTGGGGGGCCTAAGTTTTGTCTGTTGATTCTTATTTGTGCGTTGGGCAGCTTGGTGGGAGCAGTCCTAAACCCCAGCTTGGGTGGGGCTTAAACCATTGGAATGGCTCTCCCCAGATATTATTCCCACTACAGCAACTTGGGATGGAATTAAATATAAACACTATTGATGCCTTTGTGGCATTATTTCCGAAAATTCTGATCATTTTTGAATACCCTGTGGTATCATAGTATCTGGCTTTTCTGTCTGGGGATAAACCCCAGCGTCCCATCGATACAAACGAGCCTCAGCACAACAGCCGTAAGCTTCTCAGGCCCTAAGTCACGACGGCGTCGGTGCTCGAGAATTTGCTATGATACTGGACACGAAAGCACAAATCGACGTTCTTATCTCTCCACAGCTTTCAGCTCCTACTCTCTTTAATCCCATCTCCCAGTAGAAGCCATTGTTTTACTGGAGTTCAATCTATCGAGCCTTCACCAAACTCGCTGTTACTGTACCCTCGCACAATCAGAACCACTCGTAGCCACGTCCCCGAAAACCCGCGGTACACCCCCTCTGAGCTACAAACACCATCACCCATCATTAACAACAGCACAACCAAGAAAATGCATACCCCGAACCATCTCCTATCCCTAGCCTTTTGCCTAACCTTCTTCCTCTCTCACTTTTCCCCCAGCACAGCGTACCAGCACTCCACCACTGGCGAGAGCGAAAACGACAGCCACTCACTCACCCAGGAACTCTACCAATGGCCCATATCTGCGGAATCCCCGACACCGCTCTGCGGGCTGTGGTATCACGAGCGCCGGGAAGACGCGGCGTGTGCCTCTGTCGGTCACAAGAACTGCGCTATGGCCGGCGAGTGCGGTGATGACGAGATTGTTCGTGTGGGGATTATGGATGAGGAGGGTGTGTTCAGAGGGGTTGCTACTACCGGTGTATGTGCTCTACTCTCACAAAGATCATGGATGGGGAGGGGGTGCTAATGGGGTATGCATGGATGGACGGATTGGGAGGAATAGAAAGCACTCAAAAATCTTGACAAGACCCTGATAAACATCCGTCGAAGTCGCAGCGACCCGAAAAAAATCTGGAGGGTGGAGTTTCAAAGTGTTTATGATGTATAATACTACTCCCTTCCTCCTGCAAACTACCCCTCTCTCTTTGGGTAACTAATTTGGGGACGGGGGCGGTGAAAATAGCTCGAAGAACCCGACGTAAGAGCAACAAACCCAACCCCAGGCCCACAACCCTTCCTTAATAAGCCCATTGTGTTGAACGCCGAGGGGAAGTTGCCAGAGCCGGATATTGAGAAGACTTTCTTGCAGAAGTACCCTATCCCCCCCTACACACTTTCAAACCGCGCATCGTGAACAACGGCTAACGAGTGACTGAATTAACAATAGATACTGGTGGGTCCTATTAGCAGGAGCCTTACTCGTCCTATCGGGTGGTGGTGGTAGTGCGGAATAAACATTCCTCTCCCCCCCATCAAAATCAAGGGAGCAATGTGCCGGATGGAGAGAAGGATGGCTACGCACTGTATACTAGACCATAATTCACGCTTTGCCGTACTTGCTTGTGCAATGAACGCAAGCGGCACGATAGATAATGAAAGAAGAAGAAATTTAATACCCGGGTATCGGCGCCTTGCCTATCCTGTCTTGCCATGTTTACTCTTCTCCTCTCGGGTTTACCTTATCACGAACATCAGCCCTGCCTATGGCGAACCACGTTGTGTGATTTTTAGCCTGAAGACCCGAAACCTCACCCTTCCCCCCGGAGATAACGTTCTCCGCATAAAATGCGGCGCGGGTGTGCATCGCTGATACCGATGCTATAGCAAGTGATCCATGCGTAGCGGAACGCCCAATCTATTCGTACAGGTACCGTGCTTGCGAAACAGGTAAAACGCGAGTGCGCAAGGTCAGGCACGCCACGAACCCCCCCCCCTCTCTCTGCAAACACACATATCTATTCACCGATTATCACTCGATCGGTCAACTAGCTCTTTTTGTTGTATGCAAATAGAGGTGAATAAGTTATAGGTAATTAGAAACATGTACAAGTGCGGGCACATACAAATTGTAGAAAGCGACCCCGCTTAACCCTCTCCAGGAGGACAAACAGGTCCCACAATAATAGGAGGGGCCCTCGTACCGTGGATTTCCATAACTATAATGCCAATACGGCAACAGTACAATACAACGGCACATAGACACACCTCTTTGACGCAGTTCGTACTGTAGTGTCAAGGGCTAGACCACGATATCCAACACATTCGAGTAGATAAATAAACGATGCGACACGTGACAAGCAGGGGGGAAGGGGTGGTGGGGGATGTGCGGGGCAGAACGGGGGGGGGAGAGAAAAAAATAAGAAAGAGGAGAAAAATAGAAATCGACCAAGTTCTTTCTTGCGTACTCGGGGAGTCGAACCCCGTTCTCCCGCTTGGGAAGCGAAAATCATAACCGTTAGACCAAGTACGCAGGTTATTAAAAAACATGGTTTCTCTGCATTTTATACTCGCATCTTTTTTTCTTTTCCTTTTTTTTTTTTGCCGGTGAGGCTCTATGATACGGTTACCGGCATTGTACGAGTATGTAAGGTTAGTGAGCTTGGCTTGGGAATGATCAATATTACGATATGACTTGGCGTTTGTGTACGAGTACTAGCACTGTGGTTTTGGTACTCGAGTACTTGTGTGATCGTGAATTGCTTGGGTTTTTCTAGTATGCTTCATCATGCGGTGGCTGTTCGAAGTTCGAATCGACTGCCGGTGGTATTACTCTGTCGTATCATGACTACCGTGTAAGTTTAAATTACTGTTGGATCTTGCCTTTCTTTCTTTCTCCTTCATTGCTTTCATCCGGATACGGTATAGGCAATACTGGACGTGTAAGATGGGCATCGGTTTCGTTCGTTTGTTTAAAGTGGGGGGAGGGGTTCAAAACCATGCATGTGTGCGTGCCGTGCCGTTCGTGGGGTGGATGTTTGGTTTGATGGGGAATGAGCAGAGTGGAGTGGCCGGATCGGGTTTTGTTGGGTGGGCGAGTTGGAGTATGAGAGAGATGTGATACCGGGGGTGGAAGTGAGAATGGTGGGCTTTGTGATTGGTTTGCTATGAAGTGTTGCTATGCGGTGGTAGCTGCATGTGGATTGGGGGTGTAGGATATGATGAGTTGGTGGTCGGGAAGGTTATGAAGGAAGGTAAAAAAGGGTAGGTGGAAAGTCATGCCTCTATTTGCGGCGAGAGAAACTTCCGTGAATTCTTCCGACTGGAATGCTGGAGCACCGGTACAATGCAAGGTAGTGGTAACGATATTGATAGACTTGTCTATTCCAACATAGAAATCACCAGTCCATACTTGACCCTTCTTACAGAGCTTATTTCTGCCGTCTTGCAAACTACGGCAGCAAGAATGGCATATGTAGCTTCCAAAGTTTCTTCAACCCCTCGGACAGTGCCCAAAAGTCGATGAAACCCACCAGGGAATAAATCAAAAATTAAGCAACCCAGAAGGCCCGAAGGCCTTTGGCAGAGGCTCGCGTCCTCGCTGTGCAATGAGGTCGGAGATCCCTGAGTCTCAACTCTTCGTGAGCAATCAAGACTGTCGCCAGGTAAGTATGAAGAAATAAGAGGGGTGTGGGGGAGCGCGGGTTTAAATAGAGGTTCGTGGAACCGGATGCCAAGAGAAATTTGGCCGATGGTAGGGTTCGGGGTTTAGGGTTCTAGGCATCAGAAGGTATAATGATCTTGTTTATCATAATTCTTCGCAAGGCAAGAGATACTATCGAAATATATTATATTCCAGAGGACGATAACTAGCTACGGTATGATGCTACTACTACTACTAACCTACATGCAGACTTCGTGGAAACTCAGCCATGCTTTTTCCTTCTTCACTTTCCCCTTCTTCTTGTTGGCTGCTTCAGCGGTGTTAGCACTGGCCGCCCCATTTGCAACACCAGGAACAGCTTCTTCCACCGGCACTAGACGCTTTCGTCTGACTACTGGAAGTTCGGCCTTTGTTCCTCCAGTCATTTTATTGCATTTTGAGCAGGGAGTTGTGAATAACGAGGTGTATGTTCCAATCATTTCCTGGTTGATAGAGCTGTTAGCGCTTGTAATTGTAAATAAATATGAGCCTATGTTACCAGGAGCATTTGAAGATTTCCGGCATTGGGCCGCACAGTGATACTGCGCAGAAGGGCAGTGTAAAGATGGGGGATTGGTTGCTCGGGTTTTTTGGAATTGACGATTGAGGTAACGATGAAGCGACGAGTACTCGTAGCTGGATCCGACTTGTCCATCGATGTTGATGAATTAGTAGACAAGTGCATGTCGATAGTGAAGAGCAGATCAGTCGGCACTGGTAATTTAAGCTGTGCGCAGCAATAGGTTAACAAACTTGAGCAATCGGGGTACGAGTACAGAAACCGAAGACCTCACCTTGACAGTCCTCTTTCCAGACTCCTCTCCGTCGCTAACCTCCACTCCGACGCTCGGATATCTCCCTTTGAAATCTTCAATTACTGTAGGGATCTCTGCATCAGGAGTTTCTATTTCGTCTTCCTTCATTTCATCCTCTTCTTCCTCCTCTAGTTGATCGCTGGCATCTTTCATCTCTGTATCCTCGGGTTTCGGGACAACCTTCACCTCTTCCTCTTCCTCCTCCTCCTCCTCCTCCTCCTCATCATCATCCGGCATGAAAGTGTCGTGGACCGAGAGTCTCTGTATGCCCTCCGGCTTCTTCGCTCGTGATGTGCCTGCACGATCGAAAATTCCTTTGTTGTCGACCCATGATGAATTGAAATCCAATACCTCCTGTGAGCTGCCTTGTGCCCTGTTCGCAAGATCGGCGTAGAATTCTGCAGCTGTGTTGAAAAAAGGTCAGCCTTATCCACCCTGCGAGAGAAATTTCAACTTACGAGAAGGGTATTTTGTGGATAGCGGTAGTGTCAAGCGTGGAATAACCGTGCGAAGACTGATCAGCTATAATCAAGGTAAGACGGAAAGATAGAAATTTAGCTTGGTATTCTCGGCGCTGGGAGCTAATACTGGAATGAACGAACCTTATTGTGAAGATCGTCGAGACGTTTGAGCGCGTCTACAAGGTTTTCATCGCTCCATTTCTCGGAACCTGCTGGCTGCTGGCTTTGCAGCTGTTGAAGTTGCGGTGGCGGAGGTGCGTTCCCATTTGGTTGTTTCGACATGAGGAGATCAGTTAAAGGAGGTTATTGGTTGGAAGGTTCGGGTTTGGATGTTTTGTAGAGTAGCACTGAGCGAGGGATGGGGAGGATGGGCTGGGCGTGGGTCGTTTCTGGGGGGAAGGCGACAAGCACCGGCAGCCCTATGGTATTTACAATGGCCACTCACAATGGTAAAAAAAAATGAGGCTCAAGGCCTGTTCTAGGGCGCTACTCGAGTCCCGACATTTGTGAACACGACTGTTATTGCATACCGCCGGGGTCCTTTATTTAGTTAACTAAGAATAATCTCATCGAAATATTTGCATACCACCAAAATCTTGAGGCTCCGGCTGATTCCTTGCCCATCTGATATACCGGTAGCAGTCGTGTTCACAAAAGTAGATTTGTACTAGTACTAATCTACTCTACTCGTATCTATGCTAATATCAAAACTCCCTCATGAACCCTATCGGGAATCTAGAACCCAAACCTCACCTCTGATTTTATAACCCTGGAGAGAGAAAAGAAAAAAAACTTGGTGCTCCCACCGGTTCATTATAAATACAGCCAATCCCCCACCAAATCCCCTTCTTTCCTCTCCATGGAATTTGCATCACTGTTGCGGAGGGGCTCTGGGACTGTTAGGACAGCTAGAGCTCCCACGAGCAGTATTTACTGTTGCTCAAGAGCACGGTAACACACCTCAACAGTGAGGGTGCCTGGCCGGAAGGATACTTTAGCATGGTATGATATGATGGGTTCGGCTATCGTCCGTCCAACATGGGTTGGCTGGCCAGCGGACGGCTCGTGGGACCCCAGCGTGGTTGACGCCTTGATGTGGTGCTGGGGCTTTGAAACTAAGATCAACCGTTGTAGACTTGTATATCATAATATCATACCGTACCATACGTGCAGTCTGCGGGAATGAAAAAAACAGATACCGGTTTCAAGTTTACAGTACCGGTATTTACCCCTCCCGGCTCATGCATTAAATATTCCTGACTACAAAGCGCATAGAGCCAGGAGGGATTGCACATGTTCAAGCAATCCAAACCCCTAGCCCTCAGTATGTGTTAATGGAATACCGGTAGTGATAGTTGTTATCCTGCTATTCACAATCATACAAAAGAAGTAGCGAAAAAGACACTGCAAGTTAAAGAGCCTAGGTCAAGGCGATACCATCTCTCAATCCGTAGATCACTTATTCCCCGGTCCATTCAGGCTTTGTCTTATTGACAAATGCAGCCATTCCGGCCTTCTGATCCTTTGTGGAGAACAGTGCGTGGAATACCCTCCTCTCATACTTGACACCCTCACTCAACCCGACCTCGTAGCTCTGGTTGACAACCTCTTTGGCTGCCTTTACCGCTAGCGCTCCGTATCTAGCAATTGTCTCCGCAGTTTTCAATGCTTCCTCGACACATTTCTCGGGAGTCTCAAACACCCTTGCAGCAAGACCCCACCTCTCCGCCTCCTCAGCGGAGAACGTCTCTCCAGTGAGAATCAATTCCATCGCCTTCGCTTTCCCAATAGCTTTAACCAACCGCTGGGATCCGCCTGCGCCCGGGATTACTCCCAACTTGATTTCTGGTTGTCCGAATGTAGCCTTTGGTCCACAATAGATAATGTCGGCCATCATGGCGAGTTCGCAACCACCCCCAAGAGCATGCCCATTGACAGCAGCAATGACGGGTTTTGAGATTTGGGTGACGTCCGACCATAGCCTGATAAATTCTTTGCCGTACGCTTCTGAGAATGTCAAGTTCTGCATTTCCTTGATATCTGCACCCGCAGCGAACGTCCTTTCGTTGCCGGTAATGACAATTGCACCGGTTGCTTTTGAATCATCGAATGCGCGAAGAGCATCGTTGAGCTCGGACATGAGCGGTGTGTTTAAGGCATTGACCCTTGGACGGTTGAGAGTAACTACGGAATCAATTATAAGCAATTAGCTTAATTAACGCTCCAGAAGGCTACTCACTCTGCCCTACACCCGGCCTGGGGGAAGAAACCAGAATGTGTTCATAAGATTTAGAGCTCAAGGACGACATCGGGCGAACAAGACGAAGGATTGGAGGAAAAACGAGGCGAGCGGAGGTGGGTTGAATGAAACGAGCGAACATACTGACTGGGGTGTGGGCTTAGGCACGTAGGAAGCGGTTCATGTATCTTGGAAATCGGGACAACGAAATGTGGGAGGAAGGGAGAGCACAAAAGGGGCTAGGGCGCCCAGCGGGCAGATGGTGAGGTGAGCCTCCGTTGGCGGACATTCACCCGGACCGACGTCCCCCACCATAAAGTACCGTAGCGGAACAGCCTGAAACCCGAGGGAAATTCCAACTCAAGATTCTCTTTGCCTTTTGATGCCGGAAAAATTCATTAGGGACTGCTTGGCGCACCGTCATTTGAGATTATTGCCATTTCAAAATGTGTTCAGCTAAACACGTTGAGGAAAGTATGATAATATTAATTATTATGGAAATATCATAGAAAAATGCCAAGAACCGGGCTTAATATTTTTAGTCTGTCACGTACCGGTATTAGCTGGTGTTATTTTTCCTTTAACATGCTGCCGTAGTAACACCTTTTAATGTAAACACCGTTTGGGAATCTTGCCAAAACAAGTTTCCAAAATGACGACATGCCAAACACCACTGTCGTCTCAAGACACGATTTGGGCCCAAAAACGCGTTTTGAGATGACAAACAGCTTATCATACTGCCGGTAGTGCTTGTAAATGACGATGCGCCAAACAGCCTCAACCCATTCCTTGCCATGAAACACTTTCACAGTTCGACAAAATGAACAATCCTATTGTTGAGCCCCTGTGGCTGTGGGTCCCCGAGGCACTAGCCGCAAAGAGGACACTTCTCGCCTTGTGTCTTTTATTCCTTTCTGTTTCGCCTCTCGGCAACTTCTGGAGTTTGTAAATTTTTACCTAGTCGCTCCTTTCGACCACCATTCACAATAGCGAAATAAACCACCCCGACATCGCAAGTGCTATCGTACCATGGATTCACAACCTCCGGAGCAGGCTTTCCCAGCCGCATTCAGTGCTCACACCTCACGCTTCACTCGGGTCAGTTTTTGCTTCCCCTTTATTTGGTGAGCACGGGGGTGTTAGTGATGCTAACGTGGCCCATCTGATTTTGAGCCCTTGCAACAGACGTACCAAACATATCTTGACAAGGTCACCCCATTTACTACCTATCGATGGATCGGAACAGCTGTATTGCTTTTGATCTTTATGGCGAGAATCTTGATAGCTCAGGGATGGTATATTGGTAAACTTTGCTCCCCTCCCCCGAGACACTCTGCTCTCGGGTGTCTCGCCTTCTCTTCCTTTTTGATCACCACTGACAGATGCTTCGAAAGTCTGCTACTCCCTCGGCATCTATCTTTTGAACTTGTTCCTCGCCTTCCTCACGCCTAAATTTGATCCTTCTCTTGAACAAGATGACGAGCTTGAGTCTGGGGGTCCAAGTGCTTTGCCCACAAAGCAGGACGAGGAGTTCAGACCCTTTATCAGGAGATTGCCCGAATTCAAATTTTGGCACAGTGCTACGCGAGCCATTTCCATTGCATTTGTGGCAACCTGGATTCAGGCAACTGATGTTCCCGGTTAGTGTTCTCATTTATCAGGCTAGTCACACAGCAATAGGCTAATTTATTTTCACATAGTCTTCTGGCCTGTCCTTGTTGTTTATTGGATTCTTTTATTCACCCTCACCAGTATGTGCCCGTTATCTCCTCATTTTCTGGTGATGCCCTTTCTGATCCCGATGGATTTGTTGTAGTGAGGAGACAGATCCAGCATATGATCAAATACCGTTATATTCCTTTCAGCTTCGGAAAGACCAGGTACGCCAGGTCCTAAAAAGGCTTCAAACAGGTCATTCCTAGGGTATCTTATCAGTAGGGATGCTTCCGGGTGGGATACGCGGTCCGAGGAGTTGGGGATTTGGGTTTACATGGTACTTTTTCCTGGATAAAAAGGGTCGGTGATGCAAAGGGAAAGGTTATGACCAACGAAAAGCTGTGCGCTGTTCACTTATTAATGTTGGGTGGCAGTGGGCCATACGTTGCCTACTTTTACTGTCCTGGGTTCTGAATTTTTTGCCGGTATAAGTTTAGAGATCCGACCTGTAATTTTATACTTCTTTTCAGCTCTCCCATGTTTTCTCACATTTGAGCCTTGGATCTGTAGCGCGGATGTATCGGAGAAACTCCTTTACGTCTTATTGGGGCTACCGTCGGGCGTGTGGCCTCAGTTTTATTTTAATGATAAGGTTAGATGATATAAGTTGCTATAATTGCCGTCCGGCGTCCGTTATGAAAACCAATGAATCATTCACACAGACTCAGGATTGCAAAGTGTCCTAAGTGCGCTGAAAGCGGTCATGCTCCTCACGTAAGGTTCCGGGATTGGTCCAACCGAGGCGGGAGATCCACTCAAATGCTTAAGCGATGGAAGCTTTCCGGCTTCTGATTCTGTTGCACAGAATGTTGCAGAGGGAGCGTCAAACGTACCGGTAGGTTATGAGCATGAGTGTGTTTATTCCGCTCTCCTTTATGCCGGGCAAGCATATTTTCGCCCGGCCCACAGCAGGTACGGTAATATGGACAACACAGCCTTGAGCTTCAGCTGATCCATAAGGTTCCTTTATAGCGCGAATACCATGAAAGATAAAAATAGCTATAAAAAACCCCTCCCCCCCTCGATGTGTAAGGAGATGGAAGAGAGGTTATCTTAATCCGAAACGAAACACACGGGGGGGTACCACTCGTGTCATGCCATTCGTTTCCCCCCTTTTCTCCCAGTGGTTGAGTTATCAGATGAGTTGGTGAGACGCCACGGGCTGGTCAGTGGTAGCAGTGGTGGTGGAATGTGAAATGGTGCTTGAAATATTGTGCTACCGGTAGTACAGTACTCGTACTTGTATGATAATTGGCGGCACGAGGCGGGGCCTTTTTTCTGTTTTCCGCGTTCCGCTGGAGTTTACGGTCTGGATGTACGAGTATCAGTACGAGTACCCGTACGGTGCTTGGGCTTGTATGGTATGGTATGATATTTGATTACTCTGCAGGAATGATTGATGGAGAATGTTTCTGGAAGGGAGGAAAAGGGAGAGAGTGTGTGTGCGAAGGTGTGAGGAGTATAGCACCGGTATCATATGCACCCTTGATGGGCGTTACAAGCAGGTACACTGGGCATTTGTTCACAGTACCGGTGGCATGATGGCATATGTATAGTAGAGCGTACCGGTATTACTTTTAACGTGAGGTACGTTAGATCTCTCTCCCTCTCAGTGCTGTGTGCTGCGCTTGTATGTGTGACAGCCGTTGAAGTCCTGGAAAGGTGTGGCACGGTGCGGTGATCGCCCCGTACCCTTTCTCATGGGCCACAGATCAAGATGGACTGTGTAGGTGGGTACCGTGATTGGCGTCATACGTGGTTTTCTGGACACAGCTTTGATATGGTGGGTGTAGCACAATACTCGTAGGGTACGGTACTTGCGGAGGAGAATGTAGCACTACGTATCAATGACCCCTGGACCAGAGGTGTACTTGTACCGTATCCCTGCTTCTCCTTCCTGCGCTTGTGTGCTTTACGAATTCCCGTCGATATAAACCTGGATGATACCTGCTGTCATCTTTCAGTATGATTACCGTATTGAGCAGATACTTGGCATTTCCTAATTTTAGGGGTAAGATAAGTTAATTCTGCGTTTCCCGGGGATTCCCCCCCAATAGGAGCCAAAAACTCATCTTTAGTGACAAAAATGCACAAACCCTCTACATAGATGATTCAGACGAATTGGGACTAGTGCAATGCCTCGCAGCCGGGAAATGTGTTGCCTTGGCCTATTTTTGCTTACACATTTTGCAGGCAGACATTACGGTACTGTACCGTACAGTGCTCGAGGCTTCCATGCAATATGCCCCAACGTCAAGCCTAAAGATCATGGACTTCCGGTCTGTATTTCCAGAAATTAAAATCATATACCAATGCGGCTACATTTCTATCATCTTGGGAATGAAAAAAGGAGCCCCCCCTTCTTGTTGGCAGTGGTAATTCCACTTGAAACAAGGCGATTGTTCTTCCCTACAATCTGCAAGTTTATCGCGGCCGGAACCATAGCTGTATCATATACGGTACGCTCACTCAGTCTAACGGGCGAAGCTGCCCTACATAACTTAAGAAGCGCTGCGTTGGCTGACTCGCTGCCCGTTCTCTCCACGTCGCTCCATTCCAACCCTCCCTCCTTTCCCCGCTTCAAGGACCCGGAAACAGAAAGAAAGAAATACTACAGTTACCTCCCCCCATCGGTACGCTACAGCTGCGAAGGAAACAGCAAGTTTACATAACTACCGTACCGTATCCATACCGAGATCTCAATAAAACACTCGGGGAAGCTCCCAATTCCACTGCTGTTTGACACATTAACCCTACATAAAGTGAAGCAACCTCTTCAGAGTAAAATCAGGACCCCCCTCCCGAGTGCATCCGTGTGTGGTCATAGGCACGCGGCAAAAAAAAGAAGTGGTCGTCGTGGTTTCCTCAACGGACGGGCGAAAAAAGCCAAAACCAAAGCCACAGCCAAGTTTGGTTTGCGGTTTCCTATCCAACCAACACATCGCACGCTATTTCTCTCTCCTTGTTCCTTCCTTCGCTCACTTCCCCCCGGCCCGCATTTCTGGCAGCTCGCCATCTCTACTCAGCATAGCCCTCGACATCCGGAAATCCGCAGCAAAGCACAGCTAGTGCAACACAAATCTCCCCCGGCCACTACGACAAAAATATAATTTGCCTTCTGCACGCTTCCTCGTCCTCTCCTCTCCTCTCCTATATTTTCTTTCAGTAACTCCGTTACCTTGCCAACTGTTGCACGTACGCACCCCTCGCAAACTTCTTGTCCGCTCTCGCATCGAGTCCGTTTCTTGTTGAAGCTCTTGTACCTTGGTGTGGATACATTAAATATGCCTCTTTGCGGCTCAAACAAGGTTGCGAATACTACTCCCTGTTCTGTATCTGCTTTGGTTTTTTTTTCTCCCTCTTTCCCGCAAATCCTTTAGCTCGGCTTTGCGAGCGTAGGCAGGCAGGATGAAATTCTTGTGGGTGGGAGCGGTTTTTCGCTAACGGTTTCCCTCTTTTTTGTGTTTGCAGACTATCCAGCGAAAAATCGTCCTGCTAGGTTCGTTTGTCGGTGGGTAGGTTTGTGCGTGGGTAGAGGATTGGCTCGCTGATTGGAGTGTGTGTAACTTTAGGCGATGGTGCTTGCGGAAAAACATCATTGCTGAATGTTTTCACAAGAGGGTGAGCAGTTGGTCCGCTCAATGCTTTGGAGGGAACAACGAGGACATGTCCAGAGAGGCCAATGGGAGGATAAAAACTGATTGGGTTGTGGGGGTTAGGTACTTCCCGCAGGTTTATGAACCAACGGTATTTGGTGAGTCGATTCCCCGTGTGGATAACACTTCTCTTGGGGATCTGATGGACTAATTGGTTGTTTGTGAAACAGAAAACTACGTACATGGTGTGTGATTCCACTGCTGCAGGGACAACCCTGGAATGTTACCTCTAACGTCGGTTGAACGACATTAGATATCTATGTAGACAATACACACATTGAGCTCTCGCTCTGGGATACCGCCGGGCAGGAAGAATTTGACAGGTTACGATCATTGTCATACAGTGATACGCACACTATCATGCTATGTTTTAGTGTACGTCGCGATGGCCATTGATTCGGCGTACCTTGCTAGTTATTCCCCCTGCATTCGTGCTGATAGCTATGCACAGGTCGACTCCCGCGACTCCCTAGAGAACGTAGAGTCAAAGTGGGTGGGCGAGATCGCAGACAATTGTCAGGGTGTCAAGCTCGTCTTGGTAGCACTGAAATGTGATTTGAGAGAAGCCGGTGATGGTGATGGGCCGGAAAAAAGTGTTCCTGGTGGTTTCATTCAGTATCCCGAGGGGTTAGCTGTAGCTGAAAGAATAAAGGTGAGGGCCGTCGGGGGATGTCTTATATATATTTTTGAATACTTTGTGCTGACTTGCTCATTCTCAAAGGCACTGCGCTATCTGGGTAGGAAGAATAACTCGAGATATTGTGTTGACGCGTAAACTAATCACCAAAATTCAGAATGCTCTGCGAAGATGAACAGAGGAGTTAACGAAGCGTTCACAGAAGCTGCCCGGGTAGCCCTCAGCGCGAACGCTAAGGGCAGTAAGGAGTCAGGGCGCAGGGGATGTGTCATTATGTGATGAGCACGACGGTGGCAGCGGTAGTGAGGATGGATGTGTTGTATGAAAAGAGAGGAGTTGGGATATGAAATGGGGGGGGGGGGGGGCGGAAAAGAAGAAGAAAGGAGTGACAAACTTACGGGTTGGGGATGGGGTCGTTATCCTATTCTCGGGGAGTTTTTTTTTTCTCTCTTGTCTATTGAGGAGAAATATGGCCTTATTGGCAATACGAGAATTCGATATGAGTAATGATGGGGATGTCTCGTTTACTCCCATACCGGTATCCTTTTTCTTTTTCTTTTCTCCCTTCCAGAAAAAGAGGGACCCTCTTTCGCAGCGGTCGCTCTTCTCTTTGCTTCTCTTTTCAGTCTTTCTTCACAATTTGTGTCGACAGGAGCCTCCTCTTTCTTACAATGTGTTTTTTTCTTATATCTTGCCACTTTATATTCTCATACTTCCTCACGGTGGACTCTTGGTGCTTTACTTTTTCCCTCTTTTGCCTTTTCTTTTTGGGAGCGAGCGAGGTTGCTGGTATGTGCTTTTTTTTTGTATATTATAGGTATTAGTATTCCCCCCCCCTCTTCTACTCTTCCCTCGGCAGCAGCAGCAGAAGCACGGGATCCCGCGTCTCAGCTCGATGGATCGGAAAAGGGGGGGAAGGGTCTCATGACAGGCAGAAGAGATGCGTTTTTTTATTTTTTATGATCTGGTTCGATGGTACGGTATGGTGAGGGTGTATACCGTACCGTAAGGTAGGTAAGGTAATAAGGTATTGGGAGATGGATGAGTGGGTGAGTATATGGAATATATATATGCTCTCTCTATCTGGCGGAACAAATCTGATATGTATTCCGCCTGCTTGTGCATGGCATGGCATGACATGGAATGAGTAGACTGCCGTATGGGAAGGGGGCAAGGGAAGATCTAGCTACCGTAGCGAGCTAGCTAGGTAAGAATGGTAGGTCAAAAAGAAAAAAAAAGGAAGGGAAGAAGGGAAGAAGGGAGAAGCAGAAGCAGAAGCAAGTCATTTACTGTACCCCACATTAAATCCTCCATCCATCATATTTCCGTTCCTGAGTTACTATTGGCTAGGTATAGGTTTGGGGGTACAAGTGCTGTACCATACGGTACGGTAGTTGATCATGAACGAACGAGCGAACGGACAGACTAACTAATGTACGTACTGTGTATCGGATGTTATCGTTTGGCGGGGGCGGGGAAGGGGGGAGGAGGGGAAGAGAAGGGAGGGGGTGGGAGGGGGGGGGGAGTATTTCCTTATTTTATTTTTTCTGACTGATCAGTCTTTTGGGGGAATATCGGGGTTCGAGTACTGGTATCGTATGTATCCGTACCGTATTTTATTTTATTTTTTGATTTTCTTCCTTTCCTGCTCTGCTGATTTGCTTTTTTTTCTTTTTTTTTCTGGAAAGGGGGAGGGGTTAGCGTAAAGTTGGGACTTTTGCCGGGGGGCTTCTCGCTATTCTTCTCGCTCTCTCCCAACTCGACTTTGTCTCTTTGTTTGACCGTTCGTTCGGTGCAGAACTGTACCGCACTCTACAGGCACAGGTACGGTTACACTGGAGCTGGGGGAAGCTTTTCCCTCGAGCTCCAGAACAGCGGTGTGGAGAATTTACGAAGTAAGCGCAATTTTCCTCCTCCTCTCAGAGCTCAAGGAAATGGAATGGGATGAGGTGGGGTTATAAAATAAAATGAAAATGAATTTAGAGGTGGGTATTTACTTTATTTCATTCTATCTCACTTACCTTATTTTTTTTCCTCTTGAAAGGGTGGGAGGAGGGGGTAAAAGAAGGTCAAACGAAATGCAGGTGGAAGAGAGGAAAGTTGTCACGGTTCAAGTATGTGAATATGGTCACATATAGTATGTTTCGCATTTGTTTTGAGGTGGAAATTGGATTTCTTGCTGTTTTCTGTGCAGGAAGGGAGGAAGAAGAAGGACAATTAGTACAGTACGAGGGTTGCTGTGCCAGTGGTAGGTAGGTAAAGTATCATACAGTACGAGCAGAGTATGTGAGAAAAGAAGGTCAATCACTACCGGTGTCTTCTTACAAAAGGTCTCAAAGTGCGCCAGAGTTGGGGGGACAATTGCCGGAACTATTTCAAATTTGGCTTGCAAACAGCAGTGACATGATCACCCCCTTTGCTCTCCCTCCCAGTCTCTCCCTCCCCCTTCCATTTTTCTCTTTGGTTCTCCCCTACATTCACCCCCCCCCCTCCTACCAATTCCCGAAAGGTTACGGTCCATGTTTCCCTCCGTACACGTGAACCCTCCCTTTGTGAGGAGGGGAGAGGTGGAATATGGAGAAATGAGTCCTATCTATCAAGCATTCCTAGTCTTCCTCATCTCTCTCTTCTTATCCTTCTCCCCACAACCCTCCTAAACCTACCTCGGGAATACTCACTCCACCCTCCCTTCTTTCTTTACAAAACCCCCCTCTTCCGTCCCTTCCGTCGTCTTGCTTTTCCTCCTCTTTCTCTATGATATAGGAGGACGATAGCATAGACGTAATGGGTGAACTTTATCTTCCGCATGAGATCTTGCAATACATCGTTTGGCAGGTTTGTTCTTCCCTTGGTTGTTTCCTCATTTCCACTTTGGGACAATTTCCCTTCCCAGAAAGGTAACACGGGGCTTACCTTCTGTTTCTCTCGCTTTCCCTTTAATCCAGGTGCCCTCTGGGGATCGTGTCACCCTCTCCCGTCTATGTCTCGCATCTAGCTCTCTGTATCATTTCGCGGCACCACGGCTGTACCGTTCTCTATACCTCAATTTCGAGGGGAAAGAAAGGTCCGGACTCGACCTGCTTGACACGCTCTTGGAGCCTGGGTATGACGCTAGATGGGGGAGGTGGGTCAAGTCCGTCAGTGTGACGGCGCTGAAGAATTCGGTTGAAATGCACGAGAGGCAGAATGTTTGTGGGTCCCTGGCGAAGGTTTTGAGCAAGATTGAACTTGGGAGCTTGGATAAGTTCAGGTTTGTTTGCTTCTTCCTCTTCTACTTTTTAGAGTTAAGTGAGGGGAGGTTTTTGGGTATCTGTGGGAAATTATCGCTGGTGGTTAACAGGCGTGCCCCTGGGTTTGGGGGTGAATACAGTTGGAGTGCCTGCTTTGCGCCTCATAAACAGGTTGTTGATGCCTTGGTCAAGCATAAGAAATTGCGGTGTCTTCAGGTTTCCTTCCCCTTTGATCCTCATCGCGGCCCGGACGATGGAGTGGAGACCGACACTATTTTCAAGGCGCTCCCGGAGGAGAACTGCCATAATCTGGACACACTGGAGATTAGAAAGGCTTGGACCAAAGAACAGATGACTGCTGCTGCCAAAGCTATAGGATCCCCTGGGTTAAAGAATCTAACACTCCATATGTCCTACTTTTTCGACTGGGACTTGGAGAATGAATTTAGCAGACTGCCCCCCAGGCCTAATGATGAAAGGTCGAAGCTGGTCTTGATTGACCTGTCTGGGATCAGCTTGTGCAATGCACAGTCAATCATTGATAGTTACTTTAATCCCTCGACGCTGCGTAAGCTAGAGCTACGGGACTGCGTTGGTTACGAAAACGTGTGCCTCGCACTCTCGCAGCACTCCAGCGTCCTTGAAATCGAGGAGCTGGTGCTTACATCCTGGGAAGATTGTGGTGATGTCTCCAATATTATACGACTCGTCGCCAAATGCAAACGCCTCAAGGTCCTATGTCTGGATCTGAGTTCTTTTACTGATGAAGGCATACTAAAGCTGGTACCAGCATTTTCGGAATCCGGAAAGACGTTAGAGGTCCTATCGCTCTGTCTGAGAAACAACCAAGACTGGCATGGTGAATCATTATACTACCCCCTGAAGGCCCTACACGTCATGAAAAGCTTTGAGAATCTTCGGGAGATTGGAATGAGCTATGCCATTCATCCGACAGATGTATGCAACAGACCCTCCATCTGACCTTTTTTGCTGATTTCTTTTCTTTCGTTTCTGCCTTTCCGTTTTTTTTTTTTTAACGCCCATGAATGAAATCTGTTTCATGAACGTTCTTGCTGAGACTTTACCCCTACCTCCCCCGTCTTTCTTTGGTCCTTCTCGATTCACTAGCTCCACAAAATCGTCCCGACTCTTCCGCCCAGCGTGCGCGCCGCTGACCTACGCTTCCCGTGGATCTGGGTCGCCGAGAGCAAATTGCACATGACATCTAACATCTCCGCCCTTGCCGAAGCTCTTCCCGTCGGGAATGGCCTTACGCATGTGATTGTCGGTGATGGTGATGACTCTGCTGATCCGCTTGCGTTCAAGACGACTCCTACTGTGCATGAGATGGCGAAGTGGGAGATGACAGAGTTGAGGGAGCTTAGGCTTAAATGTTTTCGTTCTGATTGGTTCTCGTGGGAAGCGATTGGTGGATGATTCCATTGGAGTAATGGTAGGTTGGGCAGGGTAGCTATTACTTTTTTGTGCTGTAAGCTGTAAATTATACTTTTTTTTTTCTTTTCGCGTTTCCCTCCCCCCCCCCCTTGTTTTATACTGGTTTCTAGTCTTTTCTGTTCGTTCTCTTTCCCTCCGGCTTTCATCATCTTATTTTTCTGCAGTAGTGCATGATGGGGTCCAGATCGCCAGGGGCAGATGCAGAGGTTTTTAGGGACAGGGACAGAATAACATAGCAGACGCCCGCTTTTTTTTCTTCGCATAGAAGCAGCAGAGGAAGGGGGGACACCTGAAGTCGATCTGGAACGGACGGGTAATGTCATAGCAACAGGCGTGCATTGCATTTTCTTTTCATTTTTTCACTTTTTCATTTTTCCGTTTTCATTTTCATCTTTACCCCCATACCTATTTCCCTTTGCTTGCTCGCTTTGCTTCCATTGTTACCCATCACATTACATTACCCTAGGCGTATTCATTCATTCATCCATACACATGCATATAATACGGAATGAGTTAATCCTTCTGGCATTTTCAATTGGAGCAAATTCATTCATTCACATTGATCCACACCCATCCATCAATGCAGAGCACGGCACGGCGCCGGACTGTTCTCGAGTACCGGCACTCGAACACTTTACCGTCCTGTAATGTGATTGCGCCATGCACGCAGCATGCATTCCCCATGTACTGTACGACGGACCACGGAGCGACTGCGATATAAATATGACAGGGCCGACTCGCGAACGCAGCGCGAGTATACCGTAGTAACTTACGGTACTGTATCGAGGACAAGGGTCGGCGTGCATTCCTTCCCCATTCTAGAATATGAAACTTGCAGTGCACTGCACAGCACTCGAGCGCCGTATGCGACGGCTAATTCACAGTCTTTGCTATACGATACTCGTTGTCGGGTATGATAGCTCTTGTATCATACGCGGTAAGGAATGATAATATCAGGAGTCAGGACCCTCCGTACTCCCGGAATCACTATGGTGGGGGGGTCATGGGGGTTTGGCAGAAGCAAGACATATGGGTGTGGGGTACTTGTGCGATAATAGTATGACACGGTAGGAGGGATAGCATGTCTTGGCAATTGCACACTTTACGGTACTTCTAACCATGGATATCATATTGTAGGAGTACCGTACCGTATGGTACGGTACTGTACAGTGCTGTAGTCTAGTGTGGTCTGCGAGTACGAGTTGGGCTCTCGTGGGGCAGTCAAACTGACCAATTGGATGCGTTGCGGCGGACCCAGTCAGTGCGCTACCGTACCGTGCCGTGCCGTACCGTACAATACAGCATAAGTTAGCACAGTGCAGTACGGTACTCGTCCATCATATCATACCGCACCACGATAGACTACTCGAACCGTATTAAAGAACACCCCGGAGGTCCCGCCATATTCGCGATATGGAGATTCCTCCAGCATTGTATTGTTAATAATACTCGTGCAAACAATTTGTATCGTGCACTAACTAACTTGACCAACTCTCACACACCATAGCTCCGGCTTCTTCTTCCTCTCTTCATTGGTTAGGCATCGTACGTATGATACCAATTTTTTTTTCTTTCCATTCACTCACCATCGCACCCATCCATACAGATTCTCCTCTCGCCATCTATCTATGTCTCCCGATGGGATCATTCATCCAACCATGTGCAGTACAGCACGATACATACAGTACGTACCATCCCATCCACTGCCGGAAACGAATAGGGAGGTCGCAAATTCGTGGGTGCAGTGCAGGTATCATAGGTAGGTACCGATACCGGTACTAGCGTACTTGTAGATATATAAATAGATGTATAAATAAATCATCAGGGATAGACCTACTGCACCACAGTACACAGTACTCGTGCAGTACAGTGCGAGTACCAGCAGACAAATCCACATGATACATCATGACAATTGCTCAAATTACAAAACCCTTCCCGGAGATTAGGATATGATTACTTTCATACGGTTACGGTATCAAACCGAATTCAAATTCAAATCCCCCCCCCCCAAATCCCATCCCATCCCATTCCATTCCATCTCAACTGCCACTCGTACGTACACACCTCATCCACTCTTTGGTTTAGCCGAGGGTCCGCTTACCATATCATGCATACATAGCATACGCGGTTACTACTATAGTACAGTATTTTACATCGGCATCGTTGATACTTCCCCCCCCCGGGATACCTACCTGTATTATCATGCACGGGATAGATGGACAGACGGACAGGTAGAGGCGGACGGGTGGACGGCTACACCTGCTCAACCCGTGGCTCGTGACCACGTGCCTGCACGCGTAGGTAAATTATGACATGATATGGCAGGGCTAAGCGGTTGCTGCGATCATGTTTTGTCACTCGGTTATTTTGTATCTGGTATGGTATCGTATGTATTAGGTAAGGGGGTGGGATGGGAAAAGGGTGGGTGGTTGGGGGGGGGGGGGGGGGCTCACCGCAATGGGATGGTTCAGGGGGGTGAAATTTTTTTTCTTTTTTTCTTTATTAGTGTGCGGTTTGAGGGCTTGGATTTCGCTCGTTGGTTGGGTTTGGGGTAGTGGGACTGGAGTACAGGATTGGGTCAGTGATTGAATTGGTTGGTTTGGCTATCGGTTGGTTAGTTGGTTGGTTGAAAGTGGGATACAAGGTATCATGGACGTGGCCAATCATGTAGGCGTAAAAGGAGTTGGGCGCGAGAGCCTTGTGTTATCATGGCTTGGTCCATCTCTGATTCCTCCCAAGCTGTTTGAGATCACATTGGTACAACCGCTATAAAGAGCTGGTTTGATTGGTTTTGTGTCGTTAAATTTTCTCTCTTCACACCTATCGTGTTCTGCCTTGGCCCTCCCCGTCCAGCCCATCCACAATGCTAGCTTTTATGTACAAAACAAATATCGGGTAGAAAAATAATATCACGCCCGAGTAATGCCACCAATAGTATCATACTGATAAAACGTTTGCGCCACCCCCTCCACTACTTCCATGCTTTCCGTTGATAAACGACTCAAAGGGCGGCTATGCCCGGAGAAGATGTACGAGACTCTTCATACACCGTCTCTGTCTCCCCGTCCTGCTCCCTCTCTTTCTGTATCATCCTCCACTCCTCCAACATCCCACGATAATCTTTATTCGAGTATGGCTGGAACAGCTCTTTTAACCTCCCATATTTGCGCTTATGATTGATTCCTAGGTCGCGGAGGAGCATTGACACGTACTAGTTCCAAAAAGAAACAGACAAAAACCTTAGCATCACAAAATATCACTCGAAGGGTTGAGAGAAAATTACCGCAAGTTCATCATGCATAAAGGTCAGCTTGCGCTCTCCAACAGAGAGGTACCGCCTCCTCCTCCAGGCATTAGTAAGGGCAATGTCCATCTCCATCTCCTCCACGCTCGGCAGCCTGAGCTTTCCCATGAGGTACGCGGCGGCCCAGATACTCTGCGTCTCTGCGATATGGAAGCTTTGTGCCGCGCCGACTTGCCCCAGGAACACTATCGAATTATCCCCCTCCCTGGACTCCCGCGGTGAGACGATGCCCCGATATATGTAGAATTGCGTCGTGTTCACCGGATGTCGGTCAAAGTTCGGAGGTCTGGCGAGTTTGGGAAACATGCTGAGAATAGTGCGGTCCGCTGCTGCTTCTAGGATTTGCTATTTTTTGGAATCGAGGAGAGATTGGTGGGATGTTGGTACCGGCAGGCCGAGGGTTGAGGCATCTGCTGGGGCGAAGAAGGGGAAAGTTACTTCCCAGCTAGTAGACATGATTAGGAGGTCGCACGGGAGGGTGGTGGTGTTTGCCAAGACTACCGAGGAGTTTTCAACCCGGTCTATGGAGGAGCGGTGGACATTTGCTTGGCTCATAGTCCTCCAGAAGTTGTGGGGATTGGATACGCCAATGTCATCGGAGCGCCAGAACATACTTTTTCCATCACCTTAGTTGGTGATGGGCTGTGATCTGGGGGGAAACGGGACTTACGGGAGTTGGGGTCGGAGACTAGACATATCGCCACTACGCCCGTATCTCGCCGCCTTAAGCCAGGCCGATTGCATAGTGCTCCAGACCGTGTTAGTGGTCCATCGGCCCACTCTCGTCTGGTGAAAGAAGCGCATCCAGCCGTCTGGCGGTTGGAATATGCAAGGACTTAGCTTGGACATCAACCTCGTCGACAATATCCGGTGCGACCTCTTGAAGTAGACCGGGGCACGCCCCGCCACGCACATCCCAGGATGGTCCGATCCCTTATCGCTAATAATCCAATCCACTTGTTTCCCAGCAGAAATGAACATATGAACAGCGTCAATCGCGGATTTCGACCCCCCAATGACAATCACGTTCCGCACGCACCCCGGCTCCATGAGCGTCGGCGCCAGTCTCGCCGAATCCTCCGTATGCAGTATAGGGGGTGTGAAATCCGGTGCGTTGAAAAACGGAATATACGGCCTCGACGTAATCCCACCAGCAATCATAATTTTCGAGCAGATAATGGTCTGTCCACGATCCGTGCCCACAACCCAAGCACTCCCCCCCCTCCCACTGCGATTGCCCGCTCCATCCGGCGGACCGTACCACTTCTGAACACTGACAACGCGGGTATCCAAGTGAATCCTGTCCCGTATGCTCTTTCCATCGTATATATGGGTTGCAACGTATGACGCCAGATATTCGTGTACATGGTGTGCGGGGACGCAATTCTTATAGTGCTGTGGTGTTGGTTTCATCGGCACGTCGCTGAACTCGATCATCCCCAGTGGGGACTGCGAGTACATGCCCGGGTAGATTCGGCTCTTGCTCCAAGCTCCACCCAGGGAAGTATCAGTTTCCAGCAGCGCCAAGGAAGCTATGGGGTTCAGCTCCAGGTAGGTTTTTGCAGCAATGATGCCGAAGGGACCTGATTAAGGGCGTTGAAAAGTCTTAGCAGGGTGTAATACTTGGTCAATGGGGAAATTTCGGCAAGGTAGGTATCGCGAGTAAGGTAGGTAAGGCAGGTAATAGGCTGATTGAGGGGAGGGAGAGAGTGGAAGGTTCTCACACACCGGCTCCAACTATAATAACGTCGAAGTGAGTGCTCGTCATATGGTGCGGAGTGAACCAAATGAGAGGAGGGGGAGAAGGAATGCGTTAAGGAATGCTTTTGGTTATGGAAATTTAATGTATGGATGTGGCTGTGGGAGCGAGATTCTAAAAGATATCGTATAATACTAAGCAGGTGGTCGTAGTATCAGGAATTAAACTTTGCCCCTTCTTTCCTTTTCCTCACCCTTTCCTTCTTATTTTTTCCCCTGCCCAAGGAAGTACGGACTAAATATTCCCACAAACAAGGGAGAAATGTGTTCTTCCTCAAGACCGCGGGTTTGCATGAGTGATGAGTTTGAAGTGGCACCATATGGTCTTGTATGTGCTGCCCCCCCCCTCCTTCTTATCCTCCACCCTTTAATACTAGTCCGGCCCAGTTATTGCTAACAACGCAGACTCCATCTATGCTATTCTATGGGTACGGAACGAAGGCGGGGGGGTGAGAACAGGAAAAGTTTCCCGCAGCAGGCAAAAAAGATTGAGCCCGTCAAACAGGTGAGATGCACTCTAAAGAGAGAGGGGATGGCGTTACTCTGAATCTGGGACCATCGAACCGATTATCGGAGGAATGGGGAGAGGAAGAGAGGCCCAACAGGAGCGGGCAGAAATCTTGCGGAAGGGCTAGTGCAGAGACTAGGATTGGAATTGTAGATTCGGGACCCGAGACAAATGCTCGAAAAGCCCTACGACGGCATATCATGGGAATTTATTACAGATATCGGTAGTTTTTTCCCATCCTCGCCGAAGATGGCGGTGGGGGTGATGCTGGGGTGATGAGATATAGGGTGAAGTCGAAGGTGATTGATTGGTGGTGTTGATGCTTGACCATAAGCACCCCAACCTCACCCTACACGACTCACTATAATGTGTCAGCAAAAACCGGAAAACTATCTCCACCGCACCTATAGGTCCCCCTCCCCCGGAGACAATGATTACCGGTATGTCCTCCGAACCCTATTGACCTTAGTATCCGCATCAGCAGCAAAGGGAGAAAAAAAGAAGAAAAAACAGCACCATTAGAAGTTTGGCTAATGGATCAAGGTTGCAGTAGTGCTCGGGGCTAGACTTGGAATCGAATTGCGGCACCTAAACAGCAGTGCGAGCCAGGACCAAGCTAGATGCTCCGATCCAACTCTGGACCCTCGCACTTCTTCCACCATGATCCCTGATCGGTGAAGAAGGCTTCATGCTCCCTAGTTTATCCCCAAACCCGTGATACCCTTATTTCAGCCTACTCGGCTTTAAATTAACTTGCGCTCCCTACTCTGATAGTCGGACTCCGTTAGAGAGAGAACCCCCCTGACGGTCCCTCTGCTGAAGAGTTATGATACTATATCATAACACACCGGGCAAGTATCGTAGCTCTTTTTATACATACCCCTCTTATAAATCCCGCAGTGTGATATGATACAAACAATAACCACAAAAAAAAAAAATTCCCTGCAGCTGCGTCCCTAAAGTTCTCATACCCTTCCAATTATCCCCCAGTCTTTGGGAACTCTTAGCTGACCCTCACTTTCTTTCATGTTATTCAGTAAAAAAGCAACAAAATTGTGACAAAAGCCTACAATACCCTTGGGGGCATATCCAAAAACAGTCATCTAAAGGGCTATTTCTGTTCTGTGGTTGTTAATGGGCATAGTTCTTGAGGCGCAAGGTGGAGCATGAGAACTTTATAACGCAGCTATACTAGTACAGTAGAATACCCGGTTCAAAACGCCAAATCATACGATCCACCATAAGCAGTTGAAAAGACCCTGGAATCCCATCCACCGCGCATACATACACCCACCCATCGGACCAGAAAGCTCTAGTGAAAACATAAAAATAAAAACCTCAGCTTCTGATGAACCCCATAACACCAACCTCCCCCCCCCCCCCAAAGAAAAAAGAGAAAAATCCCAATAAAACGCCAAACTCACCTCAGATCACTCGCTTGTCTAAACTACAAAGAAGGAATTGAAAACGGGAGAAGTGAAAAAGAAAAGAAAAAAACACCACCCGATATATACATATCATAAAAGGGGGAGGCGGAATGGGGACCAGCCAGCCAGCCCTTTTTCCCACATCCTACTCTCGAAAAACGTAAATATCCTGTGCATTGACCCGTCGAAACAAGCAGACAAAGAGAATAGTGCCGGCCGTGTTCGTCCATCGCACCCTTCAGCCTTCGCCCGCTCGTTTCGCCAGTTCAAGTCAGGAACTTGGTTCCAGTGGGAAAGTGAGCGCGTCTTCGTTATCTTCCGGAGAATATTTCCTTATTCCCCACTCCAGGAGGCTGGGGTCGGGAATCGATACAGCATGTGCCGAAGGATCAGAGATTCTGGGGGTTCTTTCTCTGCAGGTCTGTCTGTCTCTCGCTCTCCTTTCCCGTCAAGAGATGGGAAAAAGAAAGCAAACCAACAGGGAAAACACCCGCGCAATCCCGTCCACGGCACGACCCGGCAATCCCCAGCAACCGACAAACCAAAATCTTTCCGGATCTGCACCGCACGTGCACACACACACGCTGTTAGCCGAGTTCCTGGTCTACCAAACAGACAGAACCAAACCCACAAACCCATTCACTCACCTACCGGTAATGGCTTCCGCCATGTCCCTCCTCCCAAACCTCGCTCACGCTCACGAAGCCATGCTGCGAAAACATGTGCTCGGGGAGTAATACTTGGGGAAGCACAGCAGGAACGCCAATATGCTGGATACGAGTATCCAGATGTGAGCCGCGCTGACTAGGAAAGGTATCGACTCGGCGGACTTGTAGGTTGAGATGTAGGAGAGGATTGAGATGTTCAGGAGGACGAGCCGCAGGGAGGAGTTGAAGGAGGTGCTGGTGGGGGACATGCCGGTTCTCTTTTCTTCTTTTTCTCCTCTTCCTCGCTCGCTTGGAGAGGCGGGGTGAATCAGGGGAAATGCTTGGTAGGTTGGACGGTGGGAGTGATTATCTACCGGTATGGAAGGGGAGGAGAGGATTCTCTGCTAATTCCGCCCCTGCTCCTGCTGGATTGAACTGAGTTGAATCGAAGGAGAGGAAGACATTTCCCTTTTAACTCTCTACACATCACGGCATTCTCCCCCTCAGGCCAACAATTCCAAAACCGCCCCGACAGCTGGAATGTCTGTCTAACTGTCCGCTCGTCTGTCTACCTGTGCAGCATTTTCTGGGTACACGTTTCCTCTATCCCCTCGCTTTCGTTTTTTATTCTTATTTTTTCACCCTTCCTTCCTTCTCGTTATTGTCCCTCAAGTTTCGAAATATACTGGGAATGTTTATGATTGGTGTTTGATCCACCTATTTTTTTTATTTTTTTTCTCTCTTTTGTTTTCGGGCGGTTACCATTTCCCACTCGTAATTCTCTCCAAGTCTAGCCAGTTTGGCTGGCAGGTAGGCACGCGTGGGTAGGGCGAACGAATAAATCCTATTGATTGGACCTATAGCAAGCGAGAGGGCAGGCGGCGAGTTACCGCACCGTGCAGTTATAGAGCACAATTCACATTCTGCTTGAGAGGGTCGAAACGTTGGCTTCCACGTCATGTCGGAAACATTGCGGAGTGGAGATGAGGGAGGAGGAGAAGGATGGATTGGGGAGGTGCTTGTGCTTGTCGTTGATGATTGGGAATCGTTCAATTGAGGGATTGAAAGATTGGGCGGTTTTTGAATTGTTTGAGGGGTTTTTTCTTTCTTTTTTCCTACCCGCGAGAATGGAAGTAACAATACGGTAGGAACGGGCGAGTCCAAAGGTACTTGTACCATGTTACCATTGCTAGAGCAATACCGGTACCGGTGCTAGCAAGCAAGCGAGTACATTGGGGTATGATACAAGGTGGTGCTATCGTACTTTGTGCAACAACGGCTGCCAGTAGCCACTCTAATTTGACCCAACCCAACAGTGCAGCGCCCGATAACACAAAAACATTCCAGAAAACACACGCACGCACACACGCACACACATTCCCCCCCACTCGAAACCCATCTCAGCGAACCTAGCGCCACAGAGGAATGTTGGCGCAGCATCAGACGAATTGTCCGTCCCTTCACAGAACCCGTCCCCCGTCCCCGAATCCGTCCATCACCCCTCCCCCCACGCCCGCCAGCCGTTTACACTTTCCCCAACCAGTCATACTCTCCAAGACCTGCCCGGTCAATGGGATCAGTCACTTATTAAGAAAAGGGCATCACCAGAAAACAATGAATGAAACGAGGAAGAAAATAAAAATTAGTCTTGCAAGAAGGAGGAGAATTTTCGCGTGGGGAGTTTTTTTTCTTTTCTTTTTCCTTTTTCCTTTCTTCTTTCCAGGAAGCTACGGTATCGTAACGGTAGATACCGGTATTGTACTCGAGTACGGTACAGTACGAGCACAGAAAACTATGATATGTGATTGACCCACGCATCACCACAGCGTCATACGGTAGCTAGTGAGGAAGTGGGTACCGGTAACTATATCATACCCAAATGATATTCCCGCAGGCACGGTCCTCCTCCTCCTCCTCCTCCTCCTCTCGGAAGGAAGCAAAGCAAAGGAAAGGGGAGGAAAGGGAGGGGAGCTAGATACCGGTACGTTTTTGCGGTGTGCACTGTATACTCTACTGTACAGTACTGTACGAGTACTAGTACGGATCTGCTAGGCTACCCTACCGTACCGCGCCATTCATATCGTACAGGTATGACACCGTAATTCCCCACGGGCTGGACTAGACTATACTGGAATAACAAAGTGCTGCCCGAAAACATCCGGCGCGCGGGAACTACTGTACTCGTACCTGTAGTCTAACTAACTTAAACTCCCCTCTCCTATCACGTTCCGCACCACCACCACCACCACCACCACCACCACCGGACAGCACAGCATAGCACAGCATAGCACAGACACAGCGCCGGCCCGCTTTCAGCTTTCGCCTTTTTTCTTTTCTTTTTCAGTGCCGCATCCTGTAGTAGTGGTATCGGTACTCGTACTCGGAGCCTAATACCTAGCATCACACTTTCCCCCTCCCCTCCCTGCCTCCCTCCTTCTACAGTACATGTACTCGTACAGTACATTCCACGATTACAAAACAAGTCCCGGGTGAGTAGAGTGACCACAGACAAGTACCGGTGCTGTACTTGACGCACTGCGGTGCCATACGGTACTGCAGGCGTGAAAGCCAAGCTTCCCCTCCTCTCCTCCCCCCGCCCACAAGAAAAAAGAAAAAGAAAAGAAAAGAAAGAAGGAAAGAAAAACTCTTTTATTTTCCTCGCCGGGTGATGTGTGATGTGATGTGGTGTAAAGTTACGAGCACGGTACGGTAGTGCATGTCTTGGATTGTCTTGGCGGCGACTACTCGAGTATGATAGTCGACCATGATTACTTAGATCTCTCCATTTGTTGCTTTTGCCTTTTGCTTTTGCTGTGGGGGTTTGGTGAGGATTGGTTGGCGGGTAGGTGGTTCCGGGATTTGAGACAGCGGGGTAAGGTACTGTACTAGTACGGTACAGTACGGTACTTGACCTTGTGCAATAGAGCAAGGAAGCGGGGAGGGGGGGAGGGTGTTTGATTGGGCTTGCTGGTTGGGGTTCGCATCATTGTCGATCACTCGGG